TGGTGTCCGAGGGTGCTCCGGGAGGACAGGCTGTGCCCAAGCCCTCGGGTTCCCCTTGTAGCCTCCCCCGGGCTTGGCTTGTCCATGCCGGGGGGCGATCACCGGAGGGGGCAGAATCCTTGTAATGATTGCGGGGAGCCCCCGGCCCCCGGTTACCTTTGTCATCCGGCCGAGGGCGTTGCTGATCTGGGACATGGTGGCATTTCTCCACCTCCTCGGCCTCCGCTGTAGGGCCCTTATATAATCGCGGGGGGGTTCGATGATGAGGCTTCCGGAGAAGTTCCCGGGGTGGAGTACTGTTTGTAGGAGTGCCAGGAGGGTCTCGTCGTCAGCGCCGTCAACTTTATCAGCCTCCGTCCTCCAACGCTCCAGGAAGTCCCGAAGGGTCTCCTCCTTCTTCTGCCTCACTGTTAGCAAGTGGGAGAAGTGTTTTCTTGTGCGGCGCCTTTCCGCAAATTGCGTCAAGAATCGCTGGGCGAGTTCTTGCCATGAGTCAATGCAGCCCTCGGGCAATCGATTGAACCACTCGTAAGTTGGCCCCTCTAGAGTGGAGAGGAACCAGCGGCACAAATATTCATCTGATGCCTCCACCATCATCATGCTGTTTTGATACCTGCTGCAGTGCTCTTGGGGGTCAGTCTTTCCGTCATAGGGCTTGATGAGCTGCCCTCGGTATTTTTCCGGGATCCGAGCCGCCAATACCCTTGGGGTAAATGGCGTCCAGGTCCGGAGCTGTATGGTGGGTTCCCCGGATCCCTCGGCTATCTTCTTCTGCATTTCTTCCATCTTGGCCATCATCGCCTCATACTTAAGGTCTGTATGAGGGGCAGAAGTGGTGGCTTGGGCTTTGGTGGCCTCCATCTCGTCAAGCCGGCGCTGGAGGGCCGCAATGATTTCATCCCGGGGGTCCTTCGGGAGGGCCACCGCCCCTGCGAATGGACCCGGGCCGAGTGGGCCTGGTTGATTTGGTGGCGTGCGTCGTCGGCATGGAGAGGTGCCTTGCCCTTGTCCTGAGGGGGACGCCTTTCATTGGCCCTGGAGACGGACCCGCCACTTTCCTGAGGCATTTGGAACGCCTTCCCCCCGAGGCGATCTTGGACCCCTCGGCGGTCTTGCGCCCCTCCGAGTCTCTCGAGGGCGGAGGTCCGGAGCTGTTCCTTGTTCACGTTGTGGCGGTCCCAGGACTGGACTTCCTGGGAGGCCGTGTCTTGGGCCACGACCTCCTCGGAGTTCCCCATCCGGAGGACCGGGTTACCGAGGGATCGTGGATGAGGGGGAGGCATAATATTCTCCCCCACCTGAGGTTGGAGGGGAACCAAAGTGCCGAAGGCACCCGGGTTCTGGGTGAGCGTCTGGATGAAGGCGGAGAGCGCCGATTGCACGTCAATTGTGATGACCGGAGGGCTAATTTGATTCTCGCTCCGGTCCTTTTTCTTGGCCTCAATGCCGAGGCGGGCATCGGGGGCATTTTGTTGAATCTGATGGCGTAGGTTGACAACTGTCTGGTCCAACCCGACAATGACGCCGCCCCCGGGAGCCCTGTTAGAGGCTTCGGGAACGTCGACCTCGCCGAGGGCCAGGTTCATGTCCTCTACATTCTTGGAGTTGGCACGAGTTGTTCTCACCATTTTAGATGGGTGTTTTGTGTTTGGTCGAGGGGGAGGGTTTCTTACTTCATTGTTCGACCTCTCAACGAGAGCACCAAATGATGGATAGTGTACCCGGGGGGTAACTTATCCGAGGGGTTATTACGGGGAATAACAAGAGAGAAGTCAGAGCAAGTAAGTTGAGAGAGAAAGTATATTAGAAAGTATGCAGCGTGTGTATTGTGACCTGGTTACAAATGGGGAAATGGGGTGCTATTTATAGTAGCAATAAATGCCGGACAGGGACACTTGTCAAGAGGGGTCACCTCAACTGGCTGGCGCTGACAAACGCATGTGGCCGCATTTAATGCGGCTGTTGGATGGGACGTTGTACAGGGTAAGGTGATCCATATGCATGTGGAGCGGATATTGTGTCGGAAAAGGCGCCCTCGGCAGTAGATGACTAGCCGAGGGCTCTGAGTATCGGGGACCCCCTTAGTGCCGAGGGCTCCAACTGCCGAGGGCTACTGATTTTCGCCGTTTTTTCCAGTAACTTTGTTTTCCTGTCTTGGCCCTCCTGTGAGAGTTAGAGCCTTCGGTCAGGGGGGCGAAGGCACCCCTGGTGCGCATTGTGGGCTGCTTGGTACTTTGGGCACGGTGATTCGGGCCTGTTGTGCTTTATGGGCCTGTTGGGCCTTCATTGGAGTAGCAGGAGTCTGTGGGCCGGGGGTTCCCGGGCCATATACTCCATCATACTGCAATTATGGCGAATCCCAAATTTGATCGCCGAATGAAAACACATGAACTAATCGGATCATTTTTATATCCTTCTTTGAGAAGATATTCACTGAGACGATTATACCACATTCGTCCAGATTGTTTGTCCATACAATGACTTTTGTAGTTTAATGGAAAACATTTCTCTAGGTTTCGAGCTATAAGCTTCAGGCATTTTAAATCCACCGGGAACTTTCATATAAATTTCCGTATCGAGTGAACCGTATAAATATGCAATCACTACATCCATGAGATGCATCTGCAGATTTTCAAAAACAGACATGCCAATGAGAAATCTTAATGTAGTTGCATCAACTACTGGAGAATAGGTTTCTTCATAATCAATTCCCGGCATTTGAGAAAACCCTTGGGTAACAAGTCAGGCTTTATATCTTACAATTTCATTTTTCTCATTGCGTTTACACACAAATACCCATTTAAAGCACACCGGTTTTACGCCTTTTGGCGTAGGGACTATCGGTCCAAAAACATCACGTTTTTCAAGTGATTTTAATTCAGCCTGAATAGCTTCATTCCATTTTGGCCAATCGTGTCGTTTCCGACATTCTTCAATTGATGTTGGCTCATTGTCATTGTTTTCATTCATAACATTCGTGGCAATGGCATAGACAAATATCTCATTAATTTCAATATCTTTTCGATTCCATTGCATTCCAGTAGAAACGTAATTTATTGAAATTTCATAGTTATCAACGTTTCTATCGTTATCTGGAATATCTTCCTTGTTTAAGGAAGTTGGATCATCATTTGAGATGTTTGTTTTGTCAATATCATTTTCTATGCCAGTATTTTCAAATTGTTCATTTTCTTGTTCAGAAGGATGAACATCTTTGGCATCACAGATCAATTCCTGCTTTTTAGTTTTTCTTGGTTTTATGTCATTCGATCCAAGTGGCCTGCCACACTTTTTGCGTATAGAAGAATCATTTGCAAGAGATTTTTCAGAATTCTCTGCTGGGATCTCGATTCTGGCAGGGGCATTCATGGCAGGAATATGTGACTTTGTCACTTTCTTTGTGTCTGTGAATGCATCAGGCAACTAATTTGCAATATTTTGTAAATGGATTATCTTTTGCACCTCTTGCTCATATATATTTGATCTTGAATCAAGATGTGATAATCATGTTGCATTCCATGTAATTTCTTTTGTACTTGGGTCTAATTTATTATTTTCTCTCCCTAAGGTTGGGAACACTGTCTCGTTGAAATGACAATCTGCAAACCGTGTTGTGAATAAGTCACCAGTCATCGGTTCGAGATATTTTATTATTGAGGGAGATTCAAATCCAACATAAATTCCCAACCTTCTTTGAGGATCCATTTTTGTTCGATGAGGTGGAGCAATTGGAACATAAACAGCACAACCAAATATCTTAATGTGTGCTAAGTTTGGCTCTTATCCAGTTACTAATTGCATTGGGGAATATTCATGATATGCAGTTGGTCTAAGCCGAATTAAATTTGTTGCATGTAAAATAGCATGTCCCCAAGCTGATGAAGGTAAATTACACTTCATTAATAATCGTCTAGCGATTAATTGTAATCGTTTAATTAAAGATTCAGCAAGACCATTTTGTGAATGGACATGAGCAACAGGGTGCTCCACATCAATCCCAATCGACATACAATAGTCGTTAAATGATTGGGATGTAAATTCTCCTGCATTAACAAGTCGGATTCCTTTTATAGAATGATCCGGAAAATGAGCTCTTAATCGTATGATTTGAGCAAGGAGTTTAGCAAATGCTAGATTTCTAGTTGATAACAGACTCACATGTGACCAACGTGTTGAAGCATCAATCAACACCATAAAATATCGAAATGGTCCACATGGTGGGGCTATCGGCCCACAAATATCTCCTTGAATCCTTTCTAAAAATGCAGGTGATTCGGTTGCAATTTTGTTCATAGAGGGCCTAATGATCATTTTGCCAAGAGAACAGGCCTTACAAGGAAAATCCCTTGATATTGGAACCCTTATATTCTTTAATGGATGTCCAAGTGAGGTCTTAATGATTTTATGCATCATTACCTGGCCTGGGTGACCTAAACGGTCATGTCACAACATGAATGTTTTCTGATCATCTAACTTTGTGTTAGAAACCAAATTTATTTCAAATGGACTAATATATGTGAAATATAGTCCTGAGGAATATGCTGGCATTTTTTCACAAATATATTTAGTGCCAGATTTAGTTGTTGTAAGACAAATATATTCCTTTTGGTTTTCATTCATGGTTTCTATGTGATAACCATTTTGACGCATATCTTTAAAGCTCAATAAATTTCTCCGCGATTTGCTGGAGTATAAAGCGTCATTTATAATAATTTTTGACCCGTTAGGGAGCATCACATATGCTTTCCCAGAGCCTTCAATGAGCTTTGCAACACCTGATATGGTATTGACTTTAGCCTCAACTAAAGTCATTTGAGAGAAATATATTTTATTTCTCAAAATGGTGTGCGTTGTGGCTGTCTATCAGACATAATTCTTTATCATTTGAGTGATTCATATCTTCAATATATATAAACATAAGTTTGATCACAAATTATGCATATTATTTAACATAAGAGTATATACATTACACATATTTATTTAAAAACAAAATAAAAAGGGGAAGAAAGAAAAAGTGCATAAAACTAGTATTGTACAACATCAGGAGTCAACTATTTTATTTAGTAACATTTTGGTTTATGGCAAAAGCATCGTCCATAATGGCATCATCCGCGAAAAAGTCAGACACGTCAAAATTTGGCAGAGGTGGAGTTGTGTCATTGACACAATTAGCTTCCATATTTTTGCCTTTGTTCAAATTCATGGAAGCTTGAAATAATTCCACCAGATGCTTTGCAGTACGGCATTTGTTAGCCCAATGCCCCGTCATGCCACACTTGTAACAAGTCGTCTTCACCGAGGATTTTATAGGGCGATTTATTTGATGGGCCTTTTGTTTGCCCTTGCCCTTATAATTTGGTCTTTTGACCTGTTTGAATTCTCAGTGTGACTTGTTTTTATGACCATTAAAATGCCCACGTTTAAAATGCCTTCTACTGCCACTGTATGTTGCAATTGATTCAGTGGCTAAATTATGGCCAGATGGACCATAAACCGAAGGACTATAACCAGTGGATCTCAGATTATGATTTTTCATCAAAAGGTCATTATTTTGCTCAGCTACCAATAATACTGATATTAAGTCGGAGTTTTTTTAAAACCTTTTTCTCTATATTGCTGCTATAGCAGCATATTAGAAATATGCATTGTAGAAAAGGTTTTCTCCAACATATCAGCATCAGTGACTTTTTGTCCACATAACTTTAGTTTAGATGTTATTTGGAACATAGCAGAATTATAGTCACTGATAGATTTAAAGTCCTGGAATCTTAGATTGATCCAGTCATACTGAGCTTTTGGTAAAGTACCTTTTGTTGGTAGCCATATCTCTCCTGTAAATTGTCCCATAATTCTTTTGAGTTATCAACCAAAAGATATTCAGATTTGAGACTTTCATGGAGATGATGACGGAGAAAAATTATAGCTTTCGCTTTATCCTGGGAGGATGATTTATTATCAGCCTCAATGGTGTCTTCAAGACCATTAGCCTTTAAATGTGCTAAAGCATCAACTTTCCATTCCAAATTTTTTTGACCGGACAAATCAAGAACGTCGAATTCTCGTTTGCTAATATTTGCCATGATATACTACAAAAATCATTAATACAAATTTAGTAAAACCGTATTAATTATAGTTTGATCAATGTTTTACTTTATATTTTAGAGAATTATAAAGCTTATGGATATTGATGCATATCTGTAAATACAAATTCAAAAGAAAGACACATAGAAGTGTAGTACTATGTAAACTAAGTTTCTAACTCACACGTCATGCATCTCTTGTTTTATGTATTTGAAGAAAATTATTCTTAATTACTTTGAATGGTTTTGGCAGATAAAAACAAAAATAACCGAATAGTAATTCAATAGGAACTCTGAAGCATTCTAACTTATATTACTCAGAAAAATGGTATTCTGTATTAAGTTCTTGCATTAAAGCAGTAGTACTGTGATTCAAAATACGGAGTAGTAATCTATTTACTTTTATTTATTTACAGGTCTCATTAAATAAAAATAATAATTCACTTCTTGCTTAAAGCCAAGAACAAAACAAGCATTCACATGGCGAAAAAACAGGTCTCGTGACATGCTATGAATGCAGTCAGAGGATAAGTCAAAAATAAAACAAGATCTATGCTTCCTTGAATTTTGATAGGTTATAAATGTGGTAATTGTTTGTTGTTATGACAACTTGAAATTGGTCAGATCAAACCATTATAAACGTCAGAGAAAAAAGGTTGCATGTTCATTTCATTTTAAATATTAGCTTAAGAAATCCACACTACTAGAGATAACTCTGTATTGTGGAGTTGTAGTTCGAGTCATATTTAACTATCCCATCTCTTACCAAGTACTATGTATTACATATTTCCATATTTCTTATTTATGGTGTTATAGTGGTGTTATCTTAACTTTTCTTCTATACTATTATGCTGCCTTTCCCCCAAGTATTACCATGTTGCTCGTTTCCTATTCGTTTAACATTAGATTGAAGAAAAAGAGTATCACAGTGTTGAGGGTAAGTCCCGTAGATCCGAAAGTCCAACACGAACTTTGGATATCTCAGGAATGGCTCAGAATCAAAGCGTAAAAGAAAATATAAGATCTGAACTAACTAAAACTCGAAAGCTCACTTGTATTAATTAACCAATCTGATTACAAGGAATTTCCAGATCGGTAAGTCGGAAACTATGCTTTAATACAAGAAGTAAGGGCAAATGATGCTATTCTAGAGCTTGAGTATTGAAATGCTAACCCTTACAATGATTTGAAACCTTCTATTTATACTAATGGAGAGCATGGGCTGCCTCTTGCTGATTGGCCGTTGTTCCACCGACTTGGTCATCCATGCTTCCACTTGCTGATGTCATAGTCTGGCATTAACTGCACCTGGCCACTTGCTGGTTGGCCGTTGCTCGAACGGGATGTTGGTCCGTACTGAAGATGCTGTCAAATTGGCCCAAGTATAATATATAGCCCGAACCTCGTTCGGTATGTCTTCTTATTGGGCCAACCTTTATTTGGGCCGGACCCCGTTCGGTATGTCTCCTTACTGGATCTTTTCATCATAGAGTGATGGGCCTGTTACTTGGGTCGGATATCTTGGGCCTTCCCGATCTGGGTATTGGGCCTCTAGGTCAATATCCCAACACAAGTCCCCCACTTCCGATGTCTCGAACGAAGTGAGTGCATCTGGAAGTATACCAATGTCATAATACCCCGAATGGCGATCGGGGTACAGAAGTAATCAGTTCCCCATGCTGCGATTTGACGGCTGCCACTTCATTTCCCCATATTCATCATGATAACCGTCGTTTAGTCTTTTCATTAGACGCGTGTTTAGCTTATTTGCTCTTAGTGATGTGTCGCTCTCTGATTGGTTCTCGACACGGCGGTTTCAAGGCTATAAATTAGCCCTTAACTCCTCAATTCCGGGTTTCGACTCTGCAATTCCTTGGCCTTCGTTGTTTCCTCTGCAAATTTCCCCCTGCTTCCCTTGCTCAGGTAATTTCCCAACTTTGGATTCCCCATCTTCATTTCTGGCTTCGATCGAGATGAGCCCCAAAGAGCATTCCTCTGATTCGGAGATGGCCTCTCATGGAGATGACCGTGACACCGCCATTGTAGATGCCATCCCAGTTCCGTTTGCCGGTGTTTCTACTGAGACGGCGACGAATACCAGGGCTGAGGCGGAGGACCTCCCTAGCACTTCTTCTTCCTCCAGTGAAGATTCTGATGACACCAAATCCGAGGACGAAATAGCCTCCATGGCGGCCGGACGTCCCAACGATGTTCCTCGCCATACTCTTGACCTAAAATTGATTAGGGAGAGAAGGCAAAAATTGACCTCTCACAATAGGGCCGAAATTCCGGCCCTTATTCCTGACCCGGTGAATTTCCGTTTGCAAGCCGGGCTTCACCCAATGCGTCATAGGCCCGGAATGACCATAGTCCATTTTGACTCGATTAGGGCCGGCCTTAGATTTCCGCTACACCCCTTTTTCATTTCTTTCTTCAATTTCTACGAAGTTGTACTGGCCCAGATTATGCCGAACTCTTATCGAGCAATGGCGGGTTTCATTTGTCGTTGCAAAGATGCCGACGCCCGACCAACCCTAGAACTCTTCCACCAATTTTTCAAAGTAGCCCCTCAACAAACCCATGGCTATCTGGCCACTAGTGCCCGAACGGGACACATCCTGTTCAAAGGAAACCCAACTTCGATCAAAGGGTGGAAAGACCGGTTTTTCTTCGTGTCCATCCCGGACGGTCTGATTCCCCGCAAATGGAATGCCTTTCCCCGCAAAACCCCTGATCCTGTCCTCACTGAAGAAATCTACAAGGACGTGCTTGCTGTGGAGAAGGATAAATGCATGGACATCATGAATTATCTGACCCCCAAACGAATTATAACAGCCGGGATAGGTACTGCCCGTTCTCTTGGGTTTACTTGTTTTGATAAACCAAGTGCCTTGGTCCGGGCGGTCCTTCCCGTGCGAGAAACGTTCTTTTATTCTTTTTTTTCTAGTTTCTCACACGCTAGGGCCGCTCGATACTAACATTGTTCTTTGTCTTTTTTCAGCACCCAACCCAGATCTCCCTATGGATGATAGCAGAGTCATCGCAGCCGGTGGGGCCGGAAAACGGAAGAAATCCAGGAAGAATCCACAACCTACTCCCTCCATTATTCCCGCTCAGGAGGCTGCCCCTTCTGAACCGCTTCCAGAGCCTCAGCCAATACAGCAGGTCCACCAGGACCAATTAGAGGCCATGCTGATCGACGAGCGGTTCGGCTCTGATCAACTGCACCAATTTTCCCAGCATTTCGACTCCGTTCGGGGAGAACCCTCGAATGCTGGCGAGACTCACACCGACCATATTACGGGTCAGGTCGAGCGGATCTCCCTATCCGACCCTGTCCATGAGGTATTAGAGAGGGCCGGCTCTACCGCGAGCCAGATCTGGTCAACCTCCTCTTGGTTCAACAACTTTTCCCTTCCTCAGTTGCCGGTCGAGCAATCTGAAGAATGGCTGGCTCTGACTGCTCTGAAGGTATACTGTCTTTTGCGCTTTGTCTTTATTTTATTCTCTGTAACCAGTACTAATTTCTCGAACGGTATTCTGTAGATGGGCTTGTACACCCTTCAGATGCGGGAGGCCCGCCTGGCCAAAGAGCGGGAACTGATTGTTGCCCAGTCTTCTGCTGAGCAACATGCTGCTGCTGCCATCGCCTCTCTAAAGGCCGAACGGAAAGCCTTTGCAGAGGAAAAGAAGAGGCTGGATGCTGAACTCGGTACCCTTCGGGTCCAACTCGCAGCTTCCCAGGCAAAGGTCCTTGCCGCTGAGGCCGCACAGGTTAGATTTGAGGAAATGCCATCCAGCATCCCGGAGGGTCCCTATGAGGTGAATGTGGATCTGTCCGCCGTCCGAGACACGTTTAAATCCTCTGATGAATTCTCCGCCATCAAGGATGATCATGCAAGGGCCCAAATCCCGTTCGCCTTTGGGGCGTATTTGAAGGGTTTCCCCAAAGGCGTTGGTCGGCTATCGGCAGGGGTGGCCCTCTTAGATAAGGACCCCGAGGCTAAAAAATGGAACGACTCCATTGTCTCAGACCTTTATGGCAAAATTGGCCAGGTCTTGCTGCGTCCCTTCGTCAATCAGCTCCAAAATCATCTGGGGAGGCCGGTTCAGGCTTCTGACCTCCCCGCAGATGACATTATCCAGACTCAGTTTGAGAAATTCCTGCGAGCTCAGCAGAGGGAAGCCGATCGGGCTGCGGGGAAAGAGCCTGAACCCCTGTCTGATGATGGTGAGGATGAGGACGAAGAGGGAGATGAAATGGCCCCCGATCAATAATTCATATGTACTCTTGTAATTCTTGTTGTAATTTTCTTTTTTCCAAGTAGCTTGTATTTCCCGATCAGTAGCACCGATGAATATATATCCCTTTTGCCTGAAACTTTGTGTACTGTCTTTTCTGTCTTTAATGCATGATTTACTCGTCATTCGGGATTCGGTCTGTTTTGTAGGACTTAGCAATTTCCTAACTCAGTTCTTGCTCAAATATTCTTAATGTCGTTGATCGCCGTTCGGGCTTTTAGAAAGTTCTGATAATTTATTTAAGGAAAAAACCCCTTCCCCCTGGTACTCAGCCGTTCGGGCTTCATACCAATTTTTAGGACTTAGCCGTTTTCTTCCAGATAACCTTTTACAATATTGTTGCCCGGTCGGGCTTCAGGTTGACATTTAGGACTTAGCATTTTTCTAAACAGCAAGCCCCTGTGATCTTTGCTAATCCTCTGTAAGCCCGTCCGGGGTACGTGCACAAAAAATGAATCATAAATGCCCCAAATTAATCGTAACCACCCCATGCCACGTGTTGCTCATGGATTAGGGATTTGTGCGGCACTTTCCCTATTTATAGAGAGGTGCTTCCCCTAATTTCTCATGTTGTTTTCTCATTTTTCTTTCGAGCTTTCTCTCTCTAGAATTCCATTGCATACTCTCAAGCCTTCTCTCTCTAGAATTCCCAAATTTCCTCCAGCGTTTTTATGTACTACTCCTCTAGCTCAGAATCTGAAGAGATGCCTTTGATCCGCAAAAGCAAAACATCCGCTGGTAACCAGGCCGAAGGCTCTTCGTCCCAAACACCCAAACCCGCCAATCCTCAGGCCAGCAAACATATCGAACAGCCACAGGAGGATGGATGTCTGTCTGGAGATGACCTCCAGGTTTACAACAAAGGGATGCCCGAGCGGCCACCCCGCATTGCCCTACACTTCAATCGCATACGCAAATACAAACAACGTCTCCCAGAAGATGTTGAACGGCAACTTAGCTAGTTGTTGCCCCCACCAAGAGAATACTATGCCGGATTCATTCGGCACCCTATGAGGCACAGACCGGGGCACGTGCTAGTACACCTTGATGCTCTGACTGCTGGACTTCGGTTCCCTCTCCATTCATTCATAGTGGAGTTCTTACGCCGGGTTGCTGTACTGCCCGCTCAGTTCGTGCCCAGCACCTACCGTATTCTGACAGGCTTCATTATCCGGTGCCACGAGTTGAGGATCACCCCCAGCGTCGATCTGTTCCTTTATCATTACTGCTATCAGCCCTACTGGACGACCGGGTACCTGAAACTGGTAGCTCGTTCTGACCGTCAGCTGTTCAAAGAGAACGTTACCCCGCAGGCTGACTGGGAAGAGCGGTTTTTGTTCGTTCGGGTAGGCGATTCTCTGCCATTCCCGGATAGGTGGAACGCATACCCCGTTCGGGATTCCCTGCCCAGGGTGGATGCCGTTCTACGCTCCCAAGCTGAGTCTTTGCGGATGGGAGGGACCAGAAGTCTTCGCAGCTTTGTCACTACCTCGAGCATGCTATCTGCTGGAATCGGTAAGCATAGTAGGGTTTTAACCCGATCATCCTTCGCTCTCACAATTCAACTTCTTATTTTTTATTTCTCTTTCTTGTAGGTGTGATATCTCCCATACCCGTCCGGCGTTCTATCTCTTCTGCTAAAGGGAAGGAGAAGATGATAGCCGATCATGATTCAGCGGAGCAAATCTGCAAAAAGCGCAAAGGAAATGATGGCGATCACCTGATCCCGATCGACCATGTGGTTGACTTGATCGGGCCGGAGGTCGAGCCCAAAAGATCGATGCCTGCCAACAAACCAACTCTGGTTCTTACTGCCACACCGATCGATGATCGGATGTTTGTTGAATTTTCAAATATGGGGCCTAGATCAGAGGGGAGGTATCTGTTCGGGCTGATGCCATCTTCTATGTGGTGTCATACTGCGATCAAGGTTCCCCCTAGATTCACCAACTTGACTCACTGGTCAGACCTTTTCGAAGCAGGTCACCAGGAAGCACTCAAGGTACATTTCATTCCGACCCATACCTTTCTATTATTCATGTTTTACCTTTTCTGACTTTCATTGTAACCTTGTTTTCAGGCTGGCGTGTATTATCACAAGGCCTTTCTTGCTGCTGAGAAGGAGATGAAAGCCCTGGCCAGCGATCGGGATGATAGCCAGGTCCTCCTTTCCGCTGCTCGGAAGTTAGTGACCGACCTCTAAGAGCAGGCCAAAGAGGGTGAGAAGGCAAAAGCTGCTCTGGCCGAGATGCAGGAGACGTCCCGTCGTCGCGACCGGGAGCTCAAAGAACTCCGGGCCAAGGTGCGGGCTGCCGAATCTGCTGGCATTAAATTTAATAAGGCTGTCGGAGATCATCTGCCCGAACCCTACACGGTCAATACTTCTCAGATTGCTCAGCAATCGGTAGTGGATTTTCAATGGGGCAAGGCGCTGAACGTCGCACTGGAGAATACGGCCCGGCAATTCCTAGGTCCTCACCTTGGCCAATTTTTGCGTGAGAGCTCAGATCCTATCAAGGCAGGGATCGACCTCCTGAACAGCACGCCGGAAGGGAAATCTTTCTTGGATGTCCTGACCGAGAAAACCGTAAAGCAAAGTCAGGACCTGCTTCTGGATAGGAATCTTGAACTGATCTTAGAGCGTTTCCCCAAGCCGTTTGATCCTGATGAATTAGGCTTCGATGATCTGTTCGGGAATACGTATGATCGCGTCATGGAGAAAAGATCCAAAGCAGCGCCTGACGACGCAGTGCAGGCAGGGAGCTCTCAGCCTACATCCTCCCCGAACGGCGATCCTCCAGTAGTGTAGCCTTCTTTCCTTATCTGTTGTCTCTTTTCTTGTATATTCATTCTTCTTGTACATTCCGGCTAGTAATGCCGAAGAATAAACTGGACTTTTTTCCTTTGTCTGTCGTATTTTTTATTCTTCCTTAGATTTTTTGTTCACAATCTTCTCTACGTGGCCGAACCTTACTCGGCTCATGTATCTTTATATCTGACACCTTTTCCGAACCCGTTTTGATCCCTTTTCCTGTTCGTGACGCATGGGTTCAAAACTCTTAGCTGAGGTGAATTCCTCCAAGCCGTTTTGATCGTGACCACAGGGTCAAACTCTCAGCTGGGATAGGGGCTCCCTCCAAACTGTTAACACGTTCGACATTCGGTCATCCGGAATGATTTCACGTGTTAACAAGCTGAGGTGAGACTCTCTTCACAATTGTTCTGACACCTTTCCCGAACCCGTTTTGATCCCTTTTCCTGTTCGTGACGCACGGGTTCAAAACTCTTAGCTGAGGTGAATTCCTCCAAGCCGTTTTGATCGTGACCACAGGGTCAAACTCTCGGCTGGGATAGGGGCTCCCTCCAAACTGCTAACCCGTTCGTCATTCGGTCATCCAGAATGATTTCATGCGTTAACAAGCTGAGGTGAGGCTCTCTCCCTTCCAAACCCATAATTCCGATGCATTCCGAACTGTTCTCTCTGGCTCGTATCATCCATATTAGGGGTCTGAGGTAACCCTTTTCGAACTGTAAGTAAGATCACCGAAGTTGGGTCATTTCTTACTCATAGCTAAAAGGGCGACTAGCTTCCAAGTCAAGTTTTATGACTGAGGCGAGATTTTTCAAAACCATAGTTCCGATTCCCCGGGCGACAATCCGTACCTTATCCGAACGTCGCTCGGTTAATCCATATCTTACAGTCTTGACACCATCTCCAAGCCGTTTTGATCCCTTTGCCCGTACGTAATTACAGGGTCGACTTTGGCTAAGTTGACGACTCAGCTCCCTCCAAGCTGTTAACCCGTTCGTCATTCGGTCATCCAGAATGATTCTACGTGTTAACAAGCTGAGGTGAGAATCATTGTCCTTCGAACTCCAGGCCATTTTGATCCCTTCATCAATGCGTAATTACAGGGTCAAAACTCTTGCTGAAATAATGGCTCCCTCCAAACTGCTAATATGTTCGTCATTCGGTTTTCCAGAATCGATTCTCATATTAACCGCTGAGGTGAGACTATCTGAGCGTCAAGCTCCCAGCCGTTGGCTGAGAATGACTTTCCTTCCATGCTGTTAACTCGTTCGTCATTCGGTCATCCGGAATGATTGAGTTAACCACGGGCACCGATTTTCTGAGCCTCAATTCTTCAAGCCGTTTTTGATCCCTTTATTCTTACATAAATCTAGGGTCAAAAACTCTCTAAACTGAGAATTGATTTTCCTTCCATGCTGCTAACCCGTTCGTCATTCGGTCATCCGGAATGATTGAGTTAACCACGGGCACCGATTTTCTGAACCTCAATTCTTCAAGCCGTTTTTTATCCCTTTATTCTTTCATAATTCTAGGGTCAAAAACTCTCTAAACTGAGAATTGATTTTCCTTCCATGTTGTTAACCCGTTCGTCATTCGGTTATCCGGAATGATCGAGTTAACCATGGGCTGAGTTTGTGGAAGTTATGTCTCCCTCTCTATTTTTTTTATTTTTTTTTAGAGGTGGCAACAGCCGTTTTTACTGATAAAATCTCCTCAGATGCTCCACATTCCAAGTTCCTGCCGGTCGGCCTTCGGTATTTTGTAGGCCAAACGTTCCTGAAGCATACTTCTTACATACTTGGTAGGGGCCTTCCCAATTTTGTGCCATTTTACCCCCTTCGAGCGGTTTGCTTTTCTCTCTCTTTCTTAGCACCAGGTCCCCTACCTCGATTGAACGAACTTTAACCTGCTTATCAAAGTATCTTCCTGTGGCTCTGTGATACTCTTCCATTCGTGCCGCTGCCAGATCCCTTCTTTCTTCTATGAAATACAATTCGGCCCGTAAGTTATCTTCATTCTGTTCTGGGCTGTAATGCACCGTTCGGTGTGTGGGAACTAGGATCTCCGTTGGTACTTTGGCTTGAAAACCATAGGCAAGGGCAAATGGAGTCTCTCCCGTGGCCGTTCGGGGTGTAGTCCTGTAAGTCCACAGAATGTAATTCAACTGATCAGGCCACGATGAGGAGTATTCTTCCAGCTTCTTCTTCATGCCATCCATGATAGTTCGGTTCATATTTTCTACCTGGCCATTTGCCTGAGGGTATGCGACGGACGCTCTGGAATGCTTGATCCCCCATTTGACCAGGTAGTTCTCAAAATTCCGGCTCACGAACTGCCTTCCATTGTCAGTTATAATCTGTTCAGGGATGCCGAACCGGCAAATGATATTTTTCCAGACAAACTTCTGGCATTTAACATCTGTGATGCTGGCCAGTGGCTCAGCCTCTACCCATTTGGTGAAGTAATCTATCCCCACAATGATGTACTTGTTGTTTCCGGGTGCAGTAGGTAGAGAACCTAACAGGTCTATTCCCCATCTTGCAAATGGAAGGGCCACCGTCATTGGAGTGTAGAAAGTGGCAGGCCGTCCGAGAACCGGTGCGTATAATTGGCATACCTTACATTTCCTAGTATGCCGAAGCAGTCCTGTTGGATAGTTGGCCAATAATACCCTTGCAAGATGATTTTTCTGGCCAATGTCTTGGGCCCTTGGTGGCTGGAACAGATACCTTCATGAATCTCTTCCATTACAGCTGTCGCTAGATCGGGTGGGAGACATTTCAGATACGGCCCCCCAAATGTCTTTTTGTACAGCTGCCCGTCCACCAATTCGAACATGGAAGCCCTCCTCTGGATGCATTTTATTTGATAAGCAGGATTTTTATCTTGTGGGAGGGTTCTGTCTTTTAGGTAGTTGGTCATATCCACGACCCAGCTCCGGATGGCATAAGATATGGCCTCGATCTGGAGCACCATGATTGCTGGGGTTGCCAATGTTTCCCGATGGGCAAACGTTGGATATGAGCCGGGATCTCCTGTGCCCGATCGTCGAACGCTGCATGCTCTAATTTGGACAGGATATCTGCTTCAGTATTTTCGATTCTGGATATCTGGTCGAGCACCACCTGTTCAAATTTGCGTATCTGCTCCTCGACCATTTCCTTGTAGGCCTTCATCCTTTCTTCTTTGGCCTCAGTCGTGCCGTTCACTTGATGTACCACCAATTGACTGTCCGATCGGACTTTTAACCGATCGGCGTCCAGGGCCCTTGCATACTTTAAACCAGCAATGAGAGCCTCATATTCAGCCTCATTGTTGGTCACCTTGAAATCAAAATGAATGGAATAATATGCTTTGAACCCCTCGGGCGATGTGATCACAGCTCCAGCTCCACAACCTTTGGCACTAGATGCTCCATCCACATACATTTCCCACCAGTTATCCAGCCCGCTGTTCTCTGAATCTTTTTCTGAGGGCCGGGCGGTACATTCTGCAATGAAATCTGCCAGGGCCTGCCCTTGGATAGTAGGCCGGGGTTTGAAATCTACCTCTTATTGCCCGATCAGGAGACTCCACTTGGTAATGCGCCCATTTTCCATAGGATTTCTCAAGATGGTGGCTAATGGCTGGGTAGTATATACAGTTACCGGGTGGGTCTGGAAATACGGGGCCAGACATTTAATGGCAGCTATCAGGGCCAGTACATTCTTCTCTAGCAAGGTGTACCTGGTTTCCGGGCCGTTCAATGCCTTGCTCACAAAATAGATTGGCCGTTGAACGCCATCTTCTTCTTTCAACAGTACTGTGCTTACGGCCAAGTCAGCCACAGCAAGGTACATATACAGATGTTCCCCTGGTTCGGGTTTTGTCAAGACCAGGGGGGAAGACAGATATGTCTTGAAATCCTCAAAGGCCGTTTGGCATTCGGCCGTCCACTCGAAAGGGTTGGCTTTCTTCATGATTTGGAAGAACGGGATAGCTCGATCGGCCAGTTTGGATAGGAATCTGCTCAGGGCTGCTAGCCGACCAGTCAACCTCTGCACTTCCTTGAGATTCCTCGGAGCCTCCATGTCCACAATTGCCTTTACTTTTTCTGGATTGGGCTCAATCCCCTTCTCGCTCATCATGTACCCCAAAAATTTGCCTCCTCTTACAGCAAACGCACATTTCTTGGGATTCAGCCTCATATTCGCCCTTTGCATTATCCCGAACACCTTTTCTATGTCCAGGACATGGTTTTCTTTCTTTTTGCTCTTGATCAGGATGTCATCAATGTAGGCTTCCATTGTGACACCCAACACATCTTTGAACAGCATCCCGATCATCCTCTGGAAGGTTGCCATCGCGTTCTTTAATCCGAATGACATGACGATGTAGCAAAACACGCACTCCGAAGTAACGAACGCTGTTTTCTCCGCATCGGCCGGGTGCATGAATATCTGATGATAACCCCGGAAAGAATCCATGAAGCTCAGTAACTCACACCCGGCAGTCTCATCCACTAGCAGATCGATCCTCGGCACTGGGTAGGGATCCATGGGGCATGCTTTATTCAGATCAGAGTAATCCACGCACATTCTCCAGGTAGATTGTTTTGGGGCTAGAACCACATTGGATAGCCATTCTACGTGGATTACCGGACGGATGTGCTTTATCCTTAACAAAGTGGCCACTTCCTTCTTTGTGAATTCCCGCCGTTCGGTTGCTTGATACCGTTTCTTCTGTTGGACCGGTTTCGCATCAGACCGAACGGCAAGTTTGTGACATATTATTTCTGGATCAATGTCGGGCATATCTTCTGGCCCTCGGGCAAACAGCACCTGAAACTTTTTGAGGACGGCAATCACGCCATCCCGGATATCAGCCTCCAGATCTACCCCGATAGCAACCTTACGGTTCGGGGGGAAGTCGAGGTCGATTTGTTCAAGAAGGGTGGCGGGCTCCGGGTGTGCCTCGAACTCCGTTCGGTGGGTTTCCACCTCAATTGTATTCACCCGCATCCCACGAGTGTTCATCTGTTTCAGGGCCTCCCGATAACATGTCCGGGCTGTTGTTGGGTCAGTTCTGGCCACCCCTACCCCAGTGTCTGTAGGGAATTTGATGCATGAGTGGCGGACAGAGGCTATTGCCTCCAGATCTTCCAATCCCGGTCGGCCCAATATGGCATTGTGGGCGCACTTTATATCTACCACCACGAACGTCATTCGGAGTGACGCTCTGTGGGTTTCATCCCCAATTTCAACCATTAATTGGATGGTCCCTTCCGCCTCGATGCAGTTACCGGTAAAACTCGCCAGTGGAGTCCGCAGGTGGGTCAGTTGGCTCCTTTGTAGACCCATTTTTTCGAATGATTGTAGATACAATACATTCACACTGCTCCCAGTATCGACCAGCACTCGGCGTATTAAAGCATTGTAAATACACATGCTTACCACCAGTTCATCCCTGTGGGGGCTTGGAGAGTTGGGTAGATCAGCTGGCCCGAACGTGATCGGGTCTGTCCTTCCTTTCTTCTGGGGGGAGCGGAGACGGATCCCACATAAAGACTTCGCTCGAACCTTTTCCGTTCGGCGTTCGAATCTCCGGTCTCCCCGCCCCCAAATGTGACCTTGACCTCCATTCGAGGCTTCTTTCCGGGGCCTCCCGAGCCCTCTGGCTCGTCCCTGGGAGGAACATACACATCATTTTGAGGCTGGGCGTCACGTTGAGCATCCCGGCGCCAGCTATTAGGTTTCCTGGCCGGTTTTAACGTGCCCATTGCATTCAGATCTTTGTTCACATAATTGCCCAGATGGCCCCTTCGGATCAGATCCTCAATTGCTGTTTGCAGGGCCCTGCAGGCATTGGTGGCATGACCCTTTCTGTTGTGATATTTACAGAAAGCATTGTCATCCGTTCCCATGAACTGTCCAGAATCAGTCGGGATGGGAATATTGTCCCTCTCGTTCTGATAGATGGTCGCTATTGATAGGACCAGGGGTGTAAATCTCCCTTGTTTGGGAGGTAAAGTGGCCGCTGGGCTAGGACCCAGCCGATCGGCCAGTCTGATCGGGGCAGCAGGCGTAATGACCTTATCCCTGATCATTATCTCTTCTTCTAGGGCGGCATGCTTGCGAGCCCTATCTAACACCTCGGCGTACGCCGTACCCGGATTCTTCTTCAGTTCTTTGTACAACTCCCCCGTTCGGAGAGCATTCGTGAACAGGGTAATGGCGGTATCATTCGTCATGCTTCCCACTGTTAAAGTTTCATCCCTCCACCTTTTCAGGAATTGGTTGAGGGTCTCCTTGGCGTTTTTCTTTACGCTGGTCAAATAGCTGAAGTGCCGTTTGGGATTGGCACTGGAAGCAAATTGAGCCAAGAATAACGCTGATAACTCGGCAAAGCTATTGATTGACCTGGGCGGCAGTGTCCCGAACCATTCCTGGGCAGGCCCCCTGAGCGTGCTGAAAAACAAACGGCAAATGGCGGCCTCGGGTGCTCCTAGCAGCATAAGTCCCCCTTGGTAACTCCTCAGATGTACGTGGGGATCTCCCACCCCATCGTAAATTTGGCCGGTCGGGGGCTTGGCACCCCCTTGGATATCCGCGTACATGAGCTCCCTAGTAAACGGGGAAGTAATTCCCAGCTGAACTGGCGCAGGTTGTACAGGTACCCTGTTCATCTGGTCCCGCATTTCATTCATTTGCCTCCTCATCTCGACCATCTCTTCCTCCTGGGCCGTCAAAGGGGGCGGTGGTGGAACCCTCATATCCGTACAGTCCCGGTCCCAATGCCGCTGAGGGGCCCTCGCATTTTCCCGCTCGGCATACTGGAAATGATGACCGACGGGAGTTGGTCCTCTAGCTTGCGACCCGACCGGGGTTCGGTCACTGGGGCTGGGATGCGCTGCTGGTGGGGCGCTACGTCGGTTATCCCGATGGGTATGTGAGCGGGATGACGCTGTGGTCGTTTCCGCGCGTGGAGTTTCTCCTGTAAAGCTGGAACCTCCTTCTTCTTCGTTCGCCATGTGCTGCATGAATTGGGCCATGTCACGCATGGCCTGGGGATTTCTCCTCAGAGATTCGGGAATCACAAAATCCCCATTAACACGAGGATATGATCCTCGACTGGATTGTCCCTGGGGGTTTTGACTCCCCGGGGTGTGACTCCTCCCGTGACGGTGTGAACCGTCGTTTGTATGATAGGAATTGATTCTGACCATTTTTTAGGAATAGAGGTTTTTTGGATGTTTAGAAAGTGAAACTTTTTGCAAGTTTCCCACAGACGGCGCCAATGTTGAGGGTAAGTCTCGTAGATCCGAAAGCCCAACATGAACTCTGGATATCTCAGGAATGGCCCAGAATCAAAGCGTAAAAGAAAATATAAGATCTGAACTAACTAAAACTCGAAAGCTCACTTGTATTAATTAACCAATCTGATTACAAGGAATTTCCCGATCGGTAAGTCGGAAACTATGCTTTAATACAAGAAGTAAGGGCAAATGATGCTATTCTAGAGCTTGAGTATTGAAATGCTAACCCTTACAATGATTTGAAACCTTCTATTTATACTAATGGAGAGCATGGGCTGCCTCTTGCTGATTGGCCGTTGTTCCACCGACTTGGTCATCCATGCTTCCACTTGCTGATGTCATAGTCTGGCATTAACTGCACCTGGCCACTTGCTGGTTGGCCGTTGCTCGAACGGGATGTTGGTCTGTACTGAAGATGCTGTCAAATTGGCCCAAGTATAATATATAGCCCGAACCTCGTTCGGTATGTCTTCTTATTGGGCCAACCTTTATTTGGGCCGCACCCCGTTCGGTATGTCTCCTTACTGGATCTTTTCATCATAGAGTGATGGGCCCGTTACTTGGGCCGGATATCTTGGGCCTTCCCGATCTGGGTATTGGGCCTCTAGGTCAATATCCCAACACACAGGTATGTATGTTGCTAATATGAAAACAACAACATAAATTTCAGATTCGGATAGAAGGGTCTCAATTTCAGTCAGTCAAATAAAATGTTCAGATTTATTTAATTCTTTCTTGAGCAATTTAAAGAAGATCAATCATACGTAGTATTAATGTTAATACCTGCAGGGGATAGCTGAATTCTTGAAGAGTTTGAGCTGATTCATGCTGATAACATGTTTAAAATGAACAAGATGAAGACTAAACTTAAGAGATAGATATATTAATAAAAGCTCTGAATATCTTCTTCTTAATCTCTGAATATTTTCTGAATGAATTTACAAAGAATTGAACTAACTCTATTTATACTAGCCAAGCTTAAGGATGAATCATTCAGGAATGATTCTACACAATTTGCTGGCAGTATTAGATATACCCACCTGTCTAACTATGATTACAATGATATGAATTAGATGAGTAAGCTTATTACAAGGACCATGAGTAGCTTGGTGTCCTGATGAACAATTCAAACTTGTCTTTCTCAGGAATTTACAACAGAGACCCCTTTTAATGGCTTTTCTCTATACAATTATTGCATTTATTCTAATAAAGAAATTATTCTAAATTGGATTGAAACATAGATAAAATCTGTAAATAGGAGTATTTTTGTTTTGTTCTCAAAATATCGAGTGACACTTATTTGATTCTATTAAAAGTATTAATAGAACTTCAATAATCAAGAATGAACTAATGGTATTTTAAGAAGAAAATAATGATGATAATATTTATGCATTTTTGTGAAGGTTTTAGTCACATTTTAAAGAATTTTCCCTTATTACAATTAAATGGAATATAACAATAAATTAAAGACTAAACTGTCACGTATATTTAAGGAAAAAAAAATGTCAATTAGTTGTATATCTTCTTCTATACAAGGCGAGGTGGCGTTGTCATTGACCACTTGCTAGGCAACCTAGAAATGTGGCAGTAACCACTAAACAAGTGACCGATAGTCCATTTGAAAGGATAAAAGATTGGATAAAGACCATTGGGTTTGTTGTTGGTACCAATTTAAAGTGAGGACTGTATGATCAGAATCACCGTCTAATCAAACTCGTTTTAAGTGTTCTAAATAAATTTCACACTTTTCATTTTGGGTAGGTTCAAAATAAACTTTGCAACGGTGTACTCTACAGTAAAGTCAAACAGTGTCACAACAGTGTACTCTACAGTAAAGTTAAATTTATTTCCTTAATTTGTGTGAAGTCAAAGTGTGAAGTTTATTTAGGACCGGAGGGAGTAATTTTTTGAACATGCATGTTTTTTTAGATCACCTTCATAAAATTTCAGAGCCTGTTTGGTGACCCATTTTTTCGGCTTATCAGTCTTATCAACCAGCTTTTTCACCAAACACGTAATTTTTTATTTCGCGCGCTGAAGTTTGTAATAAGCAGAAAAAGTAAGGTTGTAGTTACTTTTCTGGCTGTTTTGGCTGAAGTTACTGTAGAGGATCATTTTAGCTATTTTTTTCATATAATTTTTTATTTAATTTATTAATAAAAAATATTTTAAATATAATTTTTTCATGAATCACCAGAATCAGCCAATACAGCCACTTCAGCTAGAACTTCATAAATTTCAGCAGAATCAACCAATTCAGCCAATTTTAGTGTTACCAAATGGGATCTCAATTTAAAATTAAACCGGATAGTCAGTTAAAGAAATTATGAGATAAGGGTTGCATGAGGAAACACCGTTCGGGGCCCCGTTCGGGAATAAAATATGAGATAAGGGTTGCATGATAAGATGTGAAACAAAGTACAGGGAAAACAAAGTACCTTTAAGGCCGTTAAGGCCACACATTCCTCTGCCCGATCGACCGGCAGTTTGGGGAGCGGGAAGTTATTAAAATAAGAAGAGGTGGACAAGACTTGGCTCGCGGACGCACCAGCTTTTTCCAGGATCTCGTGAACAGGATCCTCCAGAGTGATTCGTTCGATCTGTCCTGCAAGATCTGCGGGATTGACCTGATTGGCCCCCAGGGTTGTATCTTGGGCGGCCTGGAATTGATGCATGAAGAATTGCATTTGCTCAGATCCGAACGGGTTGTCAATCATCATATCATCAGGCTCCTGATGACGGGGAACCTGTAGAATAGGGTCAGGCTCCTAAACGGGTTGAGAAGGCCCAGTGTCTTGTGAAGCACTGAGTGATGACTTGGGCTGAGGATTCTTCTTGGATTTCTTCCTCTTTCCCACTCCACCGGCAACAAGCACACGGCTGTCATCCATGGGGGCGTCTGGATTGGGAGCTGAAAAAATAACAAGATAAGAGTTAGTATCGAGTGATCATACCACGTGGGAAACTAGAAAAGGACATTTCTCGCACGGGAAGGACCGCCCAGCCCATGACACTTGGTTTTCAATCAAGCAAACCCAAGAGTGCAGGCAGTACGTATCCCGGCTTTGATAAGCCGATCAGGAGTCAAGTATCCTATAATCTCACAAGTTTTGTCATGTTCCACCACAAAAACATCCTTGCAAATTTGCTCAGTAAGGGGGTGTTTGGATCTGATTCTTAAAACTGCTTCTGCTCCTTGAGGGAGCAGAAGCAGAAGTTGGAGTGTTTGGGTGAAAATGTAGAAGTGATTCTGGTGCTCTAATTTACTCCTAGAATCAGTTTTTTTAGAAGTTGGGGGGTACCAGCTTCTGAAAACTGATTCTGATTCTGCTTCTGCTTTAAAAAAGAAGCAGAAGCAGAATCAGTTCCAAACACCCCCTAAGAAGCGCATCAGGAGATTTACGGGGGAAAGCATTCCACCTATTAAGAATCAAGCCGTCCGGGATAGAAACGAAGAAAAACCGGTCTTTCAACCCCTTGATTGGGGTAAGGTTGCTCTTAAATAAAATATGTCCCGTTTGGGCAATTGGAGCCAGGTATCCATGCGTCTGCTGGGGGCCACCTTAAAAAATTGATGGAACAGTTCCAGATTGAGTGTAATATTAGCATCCACACAGCGGCAAATGAAGCCGGCCATCACCCGATAAGAGTTCGGCATGATTTGGGCCGGTACTACTTCATAGAATTTGAAGAAGGACACGAAAAATGAGTGCAGGGGAAACCTAAGCCCATCTTTCACTGAATCTAAATGGACCACCACCATCCCAGGGAGGTGGCACATTGGATGAATCCCAACCCGAAGACGGAAATCCACCGGGTCTGGAATTAGGGCTGGAATTTGGGCCCTATTGTGAGAAGTCAATTTTTGCCTCCTCTCCCTGATTAATCTCAGGTCAACCCTATAATGAGGGACATCGCCTAGGGGGCCAACCGCCATTGAAGCAAGTTCATCACCGGACATTGTGCCATCAGAGTCCTCACTGAAAGCAGAGTCGCCTGAAGGATCCTCATCAACCACCCCCGCAGTCGCATCATTGGCAACATCAACAAAGGGAACTATTATAGCTTCTTGTGCAGCGGCGTCATGGAATTCCCCTTGAGTGGCGGAATCCGAATTCGATCCAGAAGAAGGTGATCGAGAAGGCATGTTGACCGAACACGAAGTGAAAAAAGTAAGGGGAAGGGGCAAAGTGTACCTGAACGGACGGAGCTTGAAGAGTTCTAGAGAGAAGGTAGAGCAAGAGCACGAAGGATCTGAAAATTCGAAACCCAGAACCGGAGAACCAAAGGCCTACTTATAGCCTGACAAGTGCCGATTCATTGACCAACCAGAAGGAAACACGTCACCAGGAGCATTTGGGAAAACATGTGTCATGCGGAGAAACAAAGCCCAGTAATCATGACGATTATGAGAAAAATCAAACGACGGCCGCAAGTAAGCCTAAAATCAGGACATCAGGAACCGGTGAGATCCTATACATGATTGCCGAACGGCATACAACCAAATTATTCTACTTCCTTATGCCTTCACTGTCGTTCAGGACATCAGAAGTGGGGGACTCGTGTTGGGATATTGGGCCGAAAGCCCAATATACCAGGCCCATTAGTCAGCAAGGATCCAAAGAAGAATAGACCCAGCAATTAGTCCAAACGGGATCCAGGAAACCACGAGGGATTATACCCCAAATGGGAATCGGATCAACCAGGGTACTTGGGCCAGATCAAACATGTATTCAGCATGGACCATCACCCCGTTCAGGGAACGGGTAGCCTGCAAGTGGCAAGGGGCATTTATGCTAGGAAATGGCGTCAGCAAGTGGAAGTATGGGCATCCAAGTGACTCGAGAACGGCAACAAGTCATATTCAGCCACGTCATCACCCACCCCATTTTATTAGTATAAATAGGGGTTCTAATCTCATGGTAAAGGGTTAGCATTTGGATACTCAGAGCCTAGAATAGCTTTCTCATTATTGTTATTGTATTACCACTATTCCGACGTGCCGTTCGGGAAATTTCCTTTGTAATCAGCAAATTGCTTAATACAAGTGGGCTTTTGAGCATATTATTATTCAGCTTTTATATCCAAAGTGTGGGTTGAGCTTTCGGATCTGCGGGATTTAATCTCAACACCGGCGAAAGTTCAAAAAAAGTGCTAGTGAAATAATTTTCACTAGACATATTTTCCGGCGGCACTTTTTGGAAAATAAATATCCTAGTGATATTTTTCGATTGTAGCGATTTCTAGCGACAATCGCCGGCAGAAGCGGCTGGAGCAAGCAATGAAATAGAGGTGGGGCAAGGGTGGGTAGTTGAGTAAGAATTAGAATCAAAAGGAAAGTATATTAATTAAATAATATTTGTTTATTTATTTTTTTAAAATGAAAATTAATCATATACTTTTTTGTCTTTCAAGGGTGTAGAGGTACCATTTTTGCCATTTTTTCTAAAACAAAACAAGAAATTATTTCAAATATATAACCAAAATAAAATTAACTTACACATTGTGACTCTAGTTACTTTAGTAACTATAATTGTATTCAAATGTTACATTATAGTGACTATAAACTTACACATAGTAACTTATGGTTACATTTTTGTCCCTAAAATTTTTATTAGTAATATTTTAAGAAAAATTTCATAAAACAATAGAAGTTGATGTGTCCAAACCGTCCCCACTTTCATTTCCCATACGTCTACCATCCAGGAAGGTTTTTAGACAAGGGAAAATCACAGTTTTGGTCCCCCAATTAGCCACCATATTGAAATCCTAGATCCGTGTTTCTGCTTTGTTAAATGTCACACCCGATTAGTCAGAATTGTTTCAAATGTCACCCTTGCCGTTAAAAATCTTACAAAACTCCATTTGGCTTTCCATTTTTCAGGAGTAAACATGTAACTTCGCATCCTTATACGTTTAAATCCCTAAATCAAGTATAAACCAAACTTTCTTTGTATAATTCAAGTGAGGTGCACGCCATTTTCTTGGGAAGCTCTCTTCCCTTCGTTCGTTCTTCAGCCATTTGGAATTTTAAAGAGGTGCCACCATTGTCATATGATTTCGGATTCTTCGTCATCATCTTCGACCTTCAAACGGAAACCTTGTGATGGAAAGTGTACCCGTGGGGTAGCTTATCTGAGGGGTTATTATGGGGAGTAATAAGAGAGAAGTCAGAGCAAGTAAATATAGAGAGAGAAAGTATATTATAAGTGTGGAGCGTTTTCAGCGTGGTTACAAATGGGGAAATGGGGTGCTATTTATAGTAGCAATAAATGCCGGACACGGACACGTGTCAAACGCCCATTGGCCGAGAGGTCACCTCAACTGGTTGGCGCTGGCAGCCGCATGTGGCCGCATTTAATGCGGCTGTTGGATGGGACGTTGTACAGGGTACGGTGATCTGTACGCATGTGGCGCGGATATTATGTCGGGAGAGGTGCCCTCGGCTGCAAAGAACTAGCCGAGGGCTCTGAGTGCCGGGGACCCCCTGGGTGCCGAGGGCTCCAGGTGCCGAGGGCTACTGTTTTCTGCCGTTTTTCTCCTAGTTTCTTAGTTTGCTTGAAAAACCTGTTACGTGAGAGTTTTGAGCCTTCGGCCAGAGGGCCGAAGGCTCCCCAGTGTGCGTGTGGGCTGCTAAGTGCTTGGGGCGTCGTAATTTGGGGCCTGCTGTGCTTCCTGGGCCGGTTGGGCCTTTATTGGTGTAGTAGGAGTCTGTGGGCCGGGGGTTCCCGGGCCATATACTCCATCAGGAGTCCCTCACTCCTTTTGCTGAAAGGTACTTGAGGGAAAAGGAGTAATTTGTGCTTGCCCTTTGATGTTGTCCCGTTGTAATCTCTGAAGTTGGTGAGGCAGTCCCTCAGTTACCCATATGTCGGGACTTGAGGGATTGCTTGGCCGTTTGTTGGAATTTTTCACCATTTTGTAATTTAATGATTTTCCCGAGGGGGTCCTCCAGTCCCCCACTCCTTGAGGCACTTGTAAAGTGGTGAAAAGGAGTAGAGTAGTTGCGCTGTTGTTGTGGGCCGAAGGCTGACGCTTTTCGTTTCATTTTGGGGGGATGCCTCGTTAAAAACCTCATTAGGAAAAACCCTGTGGGAAAAAATCCTAATGAGGGAAAAAGAGTGCACCGAATTCCCCCAATGATGAATCGAAAATGTGAAACCTTGGCTCAAAATGGAGAATAATGGTAATGCCGAAGGCTCTCCTTGTTTTGAGGGCTCATGTGTTGAGTAGCCGGAGGCTTGCTGTTTATGTCCTGGGAGGTGCCGAAGGGAAGCCCCTCAATCTGGGGATCGAGGGCGTGATGGATGAGGGCAGTAGTTGAATTGTCACCGGGGTGTCCCCTACTTGCTGATTAGTTGGTGATGAGGATCTCCGAGGGCTCCCATTACCTGTGTGCTGTAGGCTATCCGTCAATGAGGCATACTCCCTGGGGGCTACTCGGCCCTTACAGTGCTGAGGGGGAATCCCCGAGGGGTGGCCTGATATGAAGCCTTGGGCTTCTGAAGGAGTGGTCCCGAAGGCGACTGTTATGTACTGTGTGGGGCACAACCCGGGGGCATCTCTGGGTAAGTGTACCCGGAGGTTCTTCTTGATGAAGTGGAGTGAAGTAAGAAAATCCGGGGGCTCCCAGAACATAGCCGTTGGAAATATAGCCGTTGGAATATGTAACGTCAGGATATAGCCGTTGGGGGGGTACACGTGGCGCGTGATGGTTGGCTGTCCGTGGGCGGCATCACCGGTTGGGCGAAGACACGGCGTGTAATGATGACGGTCCATCCGGAGGCCCGGTTTCCAGGCCCAAGCCCGGATTCCAGCGCCTATAAATACCCCAAGGCCAGGCACTCCTCCTTGTGCGAAACCTTGTTAGCGAAGCTCTGCCGAATTTTTCCTAGAGAGAGAAACAGCAGCCCTCGATCAAACTCTAATTCCCAGGTCAGTTCTCCACTCGCACTTCACCTCTCTAGTTAGCTGTCTTGTGCCATTAGGCTAGGAGATAGATTTTTTAGAAAACACTAGCGTCTACGAGCCTTCGAACCAGAGCCAGAATGTCGTCCCAGAGTGATTCTCAAGACATCTCGGGGGCGCCCTCGATGGAGGATGAAGTCCTCTCGGATGTGAAGTCCTCAAGTGCACAGTCTTCGGTGGGACAGGATGCCGCCGTCGCCCTGGAGCTGCAGAAAGCCCTCATTGCTGAGGCGGAAGCTGAGGGCTTCGAGCAAGAATGTGAGGATGAAGAGCTGGCCCTAGCCTGGCAAGCAGCTGAAGAGGAGGCGCAAAGAGAAAGCGCGAGGGTCACCGTTGCTGTGCTCCCCCCTCGGGGTGCCGATGAGGCCAGCACCTCTCGGCCGCTGAATGCGGTTCCCATCCGGGTGGCCCCCGGAAAGAAGAAGGCCAAGGTAGCTGCTCCCAAGAAGAAGGGAAGCGTTGCAGATCAAGGGAAGCCCCTCGATATGCCCGAGGGGTACTCCTACCTGAACATCGCCGCCTTGGAAATAAGGTCAAAGGTTGATGCAGCGGACATCTACGTCACTCAGCTTCACGTGGGCCCCTCGGCCATCGTGGTGACACCGGGCCCAGATGACATCCTCTCCCGGGCTCCCGAGGGCTGTATTGCGGTGCACGTTCTCTCGGTGTCCATGGGACTCCGCTTCCCCCTGCACCCTTTCCTCCGGGAGTACCTCCGGTTCGTGGGTCTAGTCCCCTGCCAGCTGACCCCGAACAGCCATTCCTACATTACTGGCTTCCTCCAGCTCTGCAAGTCACGGGGGTGACGCCTAGCCTGGACCTCTTCTTCCAGAGCTTCAATCTGTGTCGGGGGGCATGCGAATGCCGAGGGCTTCGCAAACTTGCAGCAGGTGGCAATGTTCAAGCTCTTCACTGAGGTGCCCTCCTCGAACAAGGGGTGGAAGGACCGGTGGTGCTACGTGAAGCTGACCGAGAGTCCCTTCCCGAGGGAGTTACGTGACCGTTTCAGGAGGCACGAGAAAAGGAGGAGCGCCGCCCTCGAGAAAGACGGCAGGATTCTGGCCATGATCCGGAGGGCCGGGACAAGAATATCACCATCAAGGAGTGCACCAAAGAGGGAGATCTCTACACCCTCGGGTTCCGGAGGTATCGCTTACTGGGGGAAACAGATGAGAAGTTCCCGGTGTTTGAGGGAGCCTCCGGAGGTAGTGGCTGAGGGCACTCTCACCTTCATATCTTAACACATAGTTCATTTGCTTGTTTGCTTCTCTTTATGCCATCTGTTAGTGACCCCTCGATTTTAACCCTACATTGTTTTTGCAGGTGTCAATATGGATCTCAATGCCTTCGCCAACCTCAAAAAGCAGAAGGTGAAGGTCCCGGGCCAGAAGGAGCCCGTAAAGCAGAAGCCCCTCGGGGAGATGAAGAAGGGTGGTGAGCCCTCGGGGGAGGCCGCAAAACGGAAGGCCGCCGGCAAGGCCCCAATCCCCGAGAGGAAGAAGCAGAAAAAGGGGGACGCCGGGAAGAAGGCTCCCCTGGTGGTGGTGGTGGACGAGCATTCAGCCTCTGAGCCCAGTGCTCCGACTGCTCCTTGCCCACCCTCGGGTAAAGGTGGCGAGGTAAGCTTGCCTCGGGAGGATATACAGTTCTCCCTGCCGAAGGGGTCTGCCATTACGCATGGCACAGTGGACCCCCGGGAATTTCTGGGCGGGGCTACACCCGCTCTGGACAGGCGGGCCCTCGGGAAGCTGGATGATGAAGCCCTCGAGTCCAAAATCCTCCGGTCCTATCTTACCGTAAGTTCTCCTCCTTCCTCTCTTCTTCTTTCTTTTTCCTTAGCATCGTGGCCCATGACTTTATCTGTTTGTGTGATGATAATTTTAACCCCTTGCTTTGTTGTTTGTCTAAACAGGCTTGCATAGCCCTCGGTGAACACGCCAGGAGGTTCGACGAGTGGCGCCTCCAGAGGGCGCAACAGGAGGAGTCCCTCAAGAAGCTTATTCATGAAAATGCTGAGGCCGTGAGGCAGATGGCTCAACTGGAGAGGGACCTCCAGCAGGCGAGGGCGGAAGCAGAGAGCGGCCAGAGAGAGGGTGGAGATGGAGAAGATGGTTGCCGAGGCTGCGAAGAAGGCCCTTGAAGACGCCGAGGCCGCCAAAGCAGAGGCCGCCGCTGCTGCAGTTGCTGCCTTCATGACCGAGGGCTGGAAGGTCGAAGGCCATAAAAACTGGGTGGCCTCGGTCATGGAGAGTTCTGCCGAGGGGTGGGTGAAGGGCCCCGGGGCGATGTGGCTAGCCCGAAAGGGTGAAGATTACTACGCCGTAGGGGAGTTCTTCATCCAGGCCCTAATCTACAGGAGGCTCGCCCGGCACCAGAAGATAGAGCCAACGGCCTTTGACCCGTCGGCATACGGTCTCCCCCCCTCCAGCCTGATATCAGAGTCCCCCTTCCTGAGGGCGTCGAGAGGCCGGAACTGGAAGATTCAGAACTCCTGAAAGAGGCCGAGGGCGATGAAGCAGAGGCTGATGCGGAGGTCATCTCGAAGCCTGCGGAAGAGGCTGGCCCCGGTGTTGACAATATGTGATATGTAATTGTAGTGTTTTGAATTCCTTTGTTTTTTGTTTGGAATGAATATTCGTGTACTCTCGGCCTCGGCCATATTGTAACATATATATTTTGGCTCCTCCCTGAATGCATGAATGTTTTGCCTTCGGGCTTTTCGTATAGTTCGTTTCCTCCGAGTGTTTTTCCTTGAATGTATGCCCTCGTCTCGTTTTGAATGTATGCCTTTGCTCCTTTGAATGTAGGCTTAGGACTTAGGAAATATTCTTCCAAGTGTCTGTCCATTTGTTAGCCCCCGGTTGATCCTTCCCTCCGGTTCTTTGTAGTCTTTATGAGATAAACGGAGGTGAGGAGCTTAGGTCTTAGAAAATTTTTCTAAGTGTTTGAATACAGTTGTAGCCTTCGGTAGTTGGGCACCCTTTGCTAGATGGGTGACCGAGGGCCTAGAAATAGTTAGGACTTAGGAAATTTTTCTAAGTGTAGTCTCACCAAGCCTTCAATCATGTGACCCCCCGGGTTGCAGGTTGATTCGGGACTTAGAAACTTGTCACCGAGGGTAAGACCTTTTGGGACTTAGAAATTTTTCTAAGTGTAGCACGTATGTAGCAGGAGCCCTCGGTCAGCATGGAGATTTGACCGAGGGTCAAAGTATGTAGGACTTAGAAAAAATTTCTAAGTATAGCTTCACCAAGTCTTCAACCGCATGTCCCCTCGGGTAGCATGGAGATTTTACCGAGGGCCAAATATGTAGGACTTAGAAAATTTTTCTAAGTGTAGCACACCATAGGGCCTTCGGGTGTCTGTAGTTCAATTGTTGTGTGATGATTAGGTTGAGGACCCAATCCTTAGGACTTAGAAAAATTCCTAAGTGTTGCTTCCTTGTGTAGCCTTCGGTCAGTAGTGTTTTCCACTTAAGATTTCCCGAGGGCGACATTATTTTGGAATAATCCCCCTTGGTTGGCCTTTGATGATTTGTAATAGATGCCTTCGGTCGTTGGGTGATATGTGAGCCTCCGGCTGTTGTCATTTTTTTTTTCAAAAGTGTGGACTTAGGAAAATTTGTAGGATATTGATGTTGTAGTGAATGCTGGTGGGATATAGGTGCCCTCGGCATTCATTTGAAGGGTTCTTGAGCTGCCTTAGTCAGTTGCATCCCCTTTTACAGGATAGGACCCCTCGGTAGCAATGGATGACCGATGGTAGGTGCCCTCGACACTTATTTGAAGTGAACTTAGCCATTTAGTGTACTTGAGACAGTCCCATCCCTTTCTATTGTTGAGCAGTAACCTTCGGGAAATAGGAGCCTTCAGTTACCGGAGGTGTTCCCGTAGGGAGCCCTCGGTATGTTGTGATTTGTTGGAGTGTTGTACTCACTGATTTCTCGATGAGTCTACTCCCCTTCACCCCCTCTCTTTTTTTTCTTTTTTTTTTTGGTTGGTGGTGAAGGGAAGGCATCAAGAAACTTGGTTTCTTGGTAAGGCTGGGCCTATCAGGAGACCATCAGAATACACCAATGGCTCTCCTCCCTCGGGTTAACCTTCCGAGTTTCGAGGGGATCGAGGGTCGTTCCCTGGGCACAAGATGTGGTGGTCTGTAACCTGCCTCCCCTTGGGGGATGGCGCGGAAAGCGCCTCATTTTTGAAAGTCGTCCCCTCGGCGCTAGACATAGTCCGTGGCCTGCCACACCCTTGGGGTGGTAGCGCGGGGAGCGTTTTCGGTTTGGAAGTCGAATCTTGGGCATTTCTCGTGCCTGTCATACCCTTGGGGTGATGACGCGGAAAGCGTTCCGTTTTTGAAAGTCGAATCCTGGGCATTTCTCATGCCTGTCATACCCTGAGGGTAATGACGCGGAAAGCATTTCAAGGAAGGGTTTTCATTTGCTCACTAGTTGCAAATGGCCGGGGGCACTACGTGCCGCCGGCACCGATGGTGGCGCCTTCGGTATATGCGTCCTCGTGGGGTACGGCTTTTAGAAACAACACTTGGTGTTAGTTTCGTTATGTAGCCCCCGGTACTTGGCACCGAGGGGTCTTCTGTAGGAACTCTTAGTGTTCTTCTTCTATTTGACGTTGATGGGTGAGATGTGTACCCCCGGTACTTGGTACCGAGGGGTCTTCTGTAGGAACACTTGGTGTTCTTCTTCTATTTGACGTTGATGGGTGAGATGTGTACCCCCGGTACTTGGTACCGAGGGGTCTTCTGTAGGAACACTTGGTGTTCTTTTTATTTTTGATGTTGATGGTACAGATGTGTACCCCCGGCACTGGGTGCCGAACGGTCTTGAAATGAAACACTTGGTGTTTCCTGTTGCCGGTGATGGGAGTCCCCACCCTCGGTACTCGGTACCGAGGGGTCTTGTTCGAAACACTTGGTGTTTTCACTTGTTGTTGAAGGTGTTGGTGGTGTCCTCCCTCGGCACTTGGTGCCGGAGGGGGTTCTTCTCGTGGTGAGGCCTGGGGCCTGTAGTTGGTATGAGGGCTTGGCCGCTCATAAGTGTTTTGCGGTTGTTCTTGGTGTCCTGAATGTGTCTTCATTCTTCAAAATTGGAGGCCTTGGGCCATAGGATAGTACATTCACTAGTTATGAGGGCTTGGCCGCTCTTACATTATTGATAAAATTTAACTAAGTGGTGTACATTCTAGTGCCTAGGGACCTCTTTCCCGTTGGGGCATTTGAGCTTGTAAGTCCCAGGTTTGATGATGGCTACTATGATGTAGGGACCTTCGAACTTTGGTGCCATTTTGCCTCCCTCGGTCGGTTGGCTGGCTTCCCTCCTCCGGAGGACATAGTCCCCCACTTGGAATTCTCTGGTGCGAACCTTGGCGTCGATGTAGCTTTTGACTTGCCTTCGGTAGTTTTCTGCCCGGATGAAGGCTTGCTCCCGTCGTTCTGAAAGGAGGTGGAGGTCGAGGGCCATGTTGCTGTCGTTGACCTCGGGGTCATATTGGATCACCCTCCGGGTGGGAAGGGTGACTTCCGTAGGAGCTTTGGCTTCAAACCCGTAGCAGAGGGAGAAGGGTGTCTCACCTGTTGCTCGCCGAGGGGTGGTGCAGTAGGCCCAAAGGATGTTGTGGAGCTCTTCTACCCAGCCACCGCCCTCGGCCTCCAGCTTCTTTTTTAGGCCCTCGAGCAAGGTCCGGTTGGCGTTCTCTACTTGCCCGTTGCCTTGAGGGTAGGCAACGGAGGAGAAGGTGTGTTTGATGCCCCATGCCTCCAGAAGGGCACAGAAGGGGGCTGCCTCGAACTGTGTTCCGTTGTCGGAGATGATCTGCTGGGGGACGCCAAACCTTGTGAGGATGTTCTTGAGGACGAAGTGACGGCACTTCGCCTCTGTGATGCTGGCGAGGGGCTCAGCCTCCACCCACTTGGTAAAGTAGTCGATGGCCACAATGATGTACCTGTTGTTGGAGGTACCCCTCGGCAGAGGGCCCACGAGGTCTATCCCCCATCGAGAAAAGGGGACGGATGTGCTTATGGGGGCATAGTTGACCGCTGGCCTGCCGGGGGCTTTCTGGAAATGTTGGCATGCGGTGCACCTTCGGGCAAGGTCAGCACAATCTCTGGCCATGGTTGGCCAGAAGTAGCCCTGGAGAATGAGCCTTCGGGACATGGAGAAGGGTCCCTGGTGAGCTGAGCAAGTGCCACTGTGCACCTCCTCCATTGCGACCTCGGCTTCATCTTGATGAAGGCACCGAAGTAGCGTGCCGTTGTAAGACCGTTTGTAGAGCCTTCCGTCTTCGATGGTGTAGCTAGGAGCCCTCAGCTTTGCTAGTTTAGCGCGGGTCTCATCTTCGGGTAGCTGCCCGGCTGAGATGAAGGTGATGATATATGAGATCCAGTCCTCTTGGCGTTGTTGTATGTTCATGACGGGGCTCGCATGGATACTCGAGAGACTGAGTTCCTCAATTTTAGCAATCTTAGAGATGTGCTCGGGGGAGTCGACCGAGAGCTTGGATAGTATGTCGGCCTCGGAGTTCTGAGCTCTCTGTATTTGAGTGAGAGAGTGTGCCTCAAATACCTTAAGCAACTCCTTGGCCGCCTCCTTGTACTGTTTCATTCTTCCCTCCTTGGTCTCATACTCCTCGGAGATTTGGCCAACGACTAACTTGGAGTCGCATTTGATATGGATCCGCCGAGCCTCCATGTTGGCAGCCAGCCGAAGGCCACATAGGAGGGCCTCATACTCGGCCTCGTTGTTGGAGACTTTGAAGGAGAAGCGGATTGCATAATAGGCTTTGAAGCCCTCGGGAGTAATGAGGACTACCCCTCCCCCGCATGCTTTGGTTGCGGAGGATCCGTCGGTGTAGAGGGTCCACCAGTCGTCCGAGGTAGCCGAGGGCTCCCCGTCCGTGGCCGCCCTTGCGGTACACTGCGTCACAAAGTCCGACAGGGCTTGGCCCTTGATGGCAGGCCTCGGAAGGATGTCAATGTTGTACTGGCTCAGGAAGATAGCCCACTTCACCATGCGGGAGGAGCTGGTGGGGCTCCTCATGAGGGCGTCGAGGGGTTGATGAGTGAGGACATGAACCGGGTGAGCCTGAAAGTAGTTGCCCAACTTCTTGACGGTCCAAACGATGGCCAACACCGTTTTTTCCACAGGAGAGTACCTGAGCTCGGCCTCCCTTAGGGTCTTGCTTACATAGAAGATGGCATGTTGGATGCCGTCTTCCTCCCGGATGAGCACGGAGCTGATGGCTGCCGGGCTGACCCCAAGGTAGAGATAGAGGGTCTCCCCCACCTTTGGTTTGGAGAGCACAGGGGGTGAAGATAGATATCGTTTGAGCTCGTCAAAAGCCCCCTGGCATTCTGGAGTCCATTGAAAGCCAGCCGTCTTCCTCATGATCTGGAAGAAGGGTAGAGACTTCTCCGCTGATTTAGATAGAAAGTGGTTGAGGGCTGCCAGGCGGCCCGTCAACCGTTGAACTTCCTTCACGTTGCGTGGGGGCTCCATGTTGATGATGGCCTGGATCTTCTCGGGATTGGCCTCAATACCCCTTCGGCTCACCATGTAGCCTAAGAATTTGCCCCCTTGGACGCCGAAGGTGCACTTCTTCAGGTTTAACCGAAGGTTGAACTTTTGCATGATGGCGAAGATTTCCCGGAGGTCGTCGGCATGGCTGGAAGATTGTTTGCTCTTGACGATCATGTCGTCAACATAGGCCTCCATGGTGCGCCCTAGGACGGCCTGAAAGACTCGGGCCACCATCCGGGTGTAAGTGGCTCATGAGTTCTTTAGGCCGAAGGCCATCACTAGGTAGCAGAAGATGCCCTCGGGAGTCATGAAGGCTGTCTTTTCGGCGTCTTCCTCATGCATGAAGATCTGATGATACCCGCGGAATGCGTCGAGGAATGACATGATTTCACACACCGCGGTCTCATCTACAAGTTGATCGATATTGGGCAAAGGAAAAGGGTCCATAGGGCACGCCTTGTTGAGATCCGTGTAGTCTACGCACATGCGGAAGGTAGGAGGCTTCTGTGCGAGGACTACGTTAGCCAGCCATGAGGGGTATTTTACCTCCTTGATGTGCTTAATAGACAGGAGCATGGCGACCTCCTTCTTCACAAATTCCCTCCTTTCGGTGGAGAGGGGTCTTCTTTGTTGCTGTACTGCTCTTGCCGAGGGGTCCACCGAGAGGCGGTGGGTGATGACCCTTCAGCTTATTCCCGGCATGTCCTCCGGCCCCCATACAAAGACAGTGGAGTAGGCGCGGAGGGCGTCGGTGATACCGGTCTTCAGATCTTCAGGGAGCTGGGCTCCAATCTTCACGACTCTCTCCGGCTTGGCCGGATCGAGCGCAAAGTCTTCTACGTCCTCGGCTGGTTCAGCCCTCGGCCTCCTTTCTTCTTCGTCGATGGTCCCGGTTATGGTGTCAACACGGAGCTCCGTCTTACTTACTTTCTTCGTGACTTGAAGATAGAAAGCGCGGGCAATTCTTTGATTCCCCCGGGAGTAGCCAATGCCCCCCTCGGCGGGGAACTTGAGGCAGAGGTGCCTCATGGAGATGACGGCCTCGAGGTCCTCGAGGGCTGGCCGGCCGAGGATGATGTTGTGGGCGCAGTCGATGTTGACGACGACGAACTCCACTTCGTGTTGGGCTCTATGGAGCCCGTCGCCAAAGATTACCGGGAGGGTTATTACCCCCTCGGAATCAATAGTATCGCCAGTGAAGCCGGCAAGAGGGGTCTTAATGGGCCGAAGGGACCCCCTCTCCAGGTGCAGCTCTCTAAAGGTGCTGAGGTACATCACATTGACGGAGCTGCCCGTGTCAACGTAAGTTCGGTGAATGATGGTGTCGTTTATTTCAGTCTGAATCACCAAGGCATCCCTCTGAGGAGAAGAAGTAGGAGGGAGATCTGCGTTGGTGAAGGTGATGGGTTCCTCCCTCAGCCGCTTTACCGGGGGCATATGAGTGACTTCCCCCACGTAAAGCGATTGAGCCCACTTCTTCCGCTGGCTGGTGGAATCGCCCCCTGTATTGCCCCTGGTAATCATGAGGATGTGGCGTTTTTTCTCCTGGTAGTGGGGGTACTCCTCCTCTTCCTCCTCCAAGTTTCCGATCTCCCTCTTCTTGCCGAGGGGTATGGTGTTCGGGTTCACCCAAGCGTTCACCTTCATGTGGTGCCCTCAGGGAGGTCCCTGATGAGAAGGCCCCTCCTGCCGAGGGCTCTGGATAAATTGGGACAGATGGCCCGCTTGTATCAATCTCTCGATGGTCGTCTTTAGCTGATGGCAGTCATCGGTTCTGTGCCCCTGATGCCGATGGAAACGACAGTAGGGGAACTGAGGGTTGATAGCATGTACCTCCGGGGGTGCGCGAGAATCGCGCTCAACGAGGCCCCTCTCCTCGGCAAAATCAAGAATGATGCTGACGGGGTGCGTCAATGGTGTCCGGGGGCGGTCTAGGAGAATGGGTTGTGTCCAAGTCTTAGGGCTGCTCTTATAACCTCCCCCGGGCTTGGCTTGGTCTTGCCGAGGGCGGTCATCAGAGGGTCCTGAAGCCTTGGGGTGATTTGGAGGAGCCCCCGGCCCTCGGTTGTTCTTGTTGTCAGCCTTCGGGGGCTGCTGATCTGGATGCTGGTGGTATTTCTCCACCTCCTCGGCCACAGCATATCGGTCCCCCCCGCTGCAGGGCCCTTATGTAGTCGCGGGGGGGTTCAATGATGAGGCTCCTTGAAAAGTTGCCGGTGTGGAGGACGGTTTGTAGGAGGGCCAGGAGGGTCCCGTCGTCAGCACCGTCGACTTTGTCGGCTTCCGTTCTCCAGCGCTCCAGGAAGTCCCGAAGGGTCTCATCCCTCCTTTGGCGTATGGTTAGGAGGTGGGAGAAGTGCTTCCTCGTGCGACGCCTCCCGACAAATTGCGTCAAGAATCGCTGGGCGAGTTCTTGCCACGAATCAATGCAGCCTTCGGGCAACCGGTTGAACCATTCGTATGTCGGCCCCTCTAAGGTGGAGAGGAACCAACGACACAAATATTCGTCCGACGCCCCTACCATCATCATGTTGTTCTGATATTTGTTGTAGTGTTCCTGGGGGTCTGTCTTCCCGTTGTAGGGCTGTATGTGTTGCCCTCGGTATTTTTCCGGGATCCGGGCCGCCAATACCCTTGGGGTAAATGGCGTCCGGGTCCGGAGCTGGATGATGGGTTCCCCGGAGCCCTCGGCTACCTTCTTCTGTAATTCCTCCATTTTGGCCATCATGGCCTCGTATTTGAGGTCTGAATGAGGGGTGGAGGTGGTGGCGTGAGCTTTGTTGGCCTCCATTTCATCAAGTCGGCGTTGGAGGGCCGCAATAATTTCGTCCCGGGGATCCTTCGGGAGGGTCTCCGCCCCCTGCGAACGAACCCGGGCTGAGTGGGCCTGGTTGATTTGGTGGCGAGCATCGTTGGCATGAAGGAGTGCCTTGCCTTTGTCCCGAGGAGGACGCTCCTCGTCTGCCCTCAAGACAGACCCTCCACTCTCCTGGGGCCTCTGGAATTCCTTTCCTCCGAGGCGGTCTTGGACCCCTTGGCGATCTTGCCCCCCTCCGAGCCGGTTGAGGGCGGAAGTGCGGGGCCTTTCTCTGTTGTCATTGTGGCAGTCCCGGGACTGAACTTCCTGGGAGGCCGTATCTTGGGCCACTACCCCTTCGTCATTCCCAATCCAAGGGATGGGATTTCCGAAGGGGTGTGGCAGAGGGGGAAGCATGATGTTCTCCCCAACCTGGGGTGGAGCCGGAGCCAGGGTGCCGAAGGCACCCGGGTTCTGAGTTAGCGTTTGGATGAAGCCGGAGAGCGCCGAATGAACGTCGATGGTGAGGACCGGAGGGCTGACTTGGTCATCACTCCGGTTTTTCTTCTTGGCCTCGATGCCGAGGCGGGCATCGGGGGCATTTTGCTGGATCTGAAGGCGTAGGTCGACAGCCGCCTGTTCCAGCCCAGCGATGACACCGCCCTCGGGAGCCCTGTGAGAGGCTTCGAGGGCGTTGACGTCGCCGAGGGCCAGGTTCTTGTCTTCTACGTTTTTGGAGTTGGTAGAGGGCTAGTGTTTGGCGAAGGGGGAGGGTTTCTCACTCGATTGTTCGACCTCTCAATGAGAGCACCAAATGATGGAAAGTGTACCCGTGGGGTAGCTTATCCGAGGGGTTATTATGGGAAGTAATAAGAGAGAAGTCAGAGCAAGTAAATATATAGAGAGAAAGTATATTATAAGTGTGGAGCGTTTTCAGCGTGGTTACAAATGGGGAAATGAGGTGCTATTTATAGTAGCAATAAATGCCGGACAGGGACACGTGTCAAACGCCCATTGGCCGAGAGGTCACCTCAACTGGTTGGCGCTGGCAGTCGCATGTGGCCGCATTTAATGCGGCTGTTGGATGGGACGTTGTACAGGGTACGGTGATCTGTACGCATGTGGCGCGGATATTATGTCGGGAGAGGTGCCCTCGGCTGCAGAGAACTAGCTGAGGGCTCTGAGTGCCGGGGACCCCCTGGGTGCCGAGGGCTCCAGGTGCCGAGGGCTACTGTTTTCTGCCGTTTTTCTCCCAGTTTCTTAGTTTGCTTGAAAAACCTGTTATGTGAGAGTTTTGAGCCTTCGGTCAGGGGGGCGAAGGCTCCCCAGTGTGCGCTGTGGGCTGCTTAGTGCTTGGGGCATCGTAATTTGGGGTCTGATGTGCTTCCTGTGCCGGTTGGGCCTTTATTGGTGTAGTAGGAGTCTGTGGGCCGGGGGTTCCCGGGCCATATACTCCATCATCTTGGCTTCAATATAGCTTCAATATTCGAACGTCATGTCCAACGGAAAGTTGGCGAAAAAGAGTTCAGAGCAAAGGATTAAGCAAAACATTTCAATTTGGTTTGATAAGCATGATAAAGGGTTGACGATAACTCGATTTAGGGATTTAAACGTATAAGGATGCGAAGTTACATGTTTATCCCTGAAAAAATGAAAAACCACACGGAATTTGTAAGATTATTAATGGTAGGGGTGAGATTTAAAACAATTCTGACAAATCTGGGGTGAGATTTAAAAAAGAAAAATCACGAGTCTGGAATTTCAATATGGTGGCTGTTTGGGGGACCAAAACTGCGATTTTCCCTTTAGACAATTTGTGGTGTACGAAACTTTCCCTAATTACTGCTTTCATTGTAAAGAATATGGACATCATCCATTTATTTGCAAAAAGTTAGCGGAGAAAGAAAAGGGGGCATCTGAGAACAAGAAGGGTTTGTGTCAAGGAATCCAAGACATTAGGAAGAAAGTTGGGACCTTAGTAACTACCCAGGAGGGAAAAAGTGAGGAAGAGAGCAGACCATTGTGCTGGAAAGCATAGATACCAAATTTGGACCAGATCGTAGGTCCAAATTTTGCACAGGTGATAGACAAAGCTAAGGAATATACTACCCAGGAGCTTTCCCTTGAGGACCACCCGGTGATAACCAAAAGCTAATCAGATACGCTTCAGGATGAAGAAGACTACTATATCTATCCGGTCTACTAAAACTATGATTCGCCCCACAAACTGATAACAGGACTTCAACGCTACAAGTCACTACACTCGGACGCAAAAACGTACCCTCCTTATCTTCAAAGGGTCGTCTGGTTTCACAACAAATACAAATTTAGTCCTGACAATGGGTCGGGTCCAGGTCAGAACGTAGTGTTCCAAATCCAAACCCGCTAAGTTAATAATGGACCCGGACCCGTTTACCCGGCGGGTCTGTAAATTTGGACTTGGACACAGACCCAATGGGTTTCGGAATCGGGTCGGATAGACCCGCCCGCCAAGTATGATACGCACGCCATTAAAAACTTTTTGAAAATAACAAGACATGTTTGTGAAATATAAAGCAAAGTGTACAAATCTAAAAACAAAATATATGTACCTAGGCTTGTCAATGGGTCGGGTCTAGACCTGGATCCGACCCGGACCCGGTTGTTTTTAATGGGTACGGGTCTATATTTTATTTCGTTTAAACGGGTCGGGTATGGTACATATGATTCCGACCCATTAAGGACCCGGACCCGTTTAAAATTTCTTATTTGTATACATAGACACTAATACATAAAGTGATTAGTTATAACACTTTAAATAAAATAGAAACTAATATACATATATACATAATAATACATAAAGTTATTAGTTGTGATTCTCAATAAAAATATACACATCAATACATAACTACTATATAAGTGATACTGATCGAGATAGTAAGATACCCTAAAACTAATGCCAATTTTGGCCGTAAATACATACTGATAAAGTGTGTACAGGACTCGGTAGGAAAATGCAATATTTATTATTATTATTATTATATCATTATCTATTATATAAGAGAAAAGTGTCAAATAGAGCCCCCTACGATAAGAAAATTGTCAATTAAGGTCACCATTGCAAATATCGGCCATCAACGAAAAAAATGGGGCAAATCTTCGTAGTACCCGGTAAACGACCGGTTGCTGGTAAAAACATGATTGTGGCATCTCACGTGGCTATAATAAATGTAAAGGGGTTGCTGATGTGTAATATAATAAACTTAACCCTATTTTTTTTATTGACATCCGGTATCCTCGGTTACCCAAGACTAATCCGGAGTCTTGTGACCCTACCCGGCAAAGGACCACAAGGAGGTAAACCAGCCTAGGTTGCCCATAGCTGACCGGCTCACAGCTTGGGGAGGTCACAATAATCACTCTCATTGCAGGATTCGAACTTAAGACCTTAGGATTGCCCCAAAGACTTAAGTCCTATGAAATGACCATCCAAGTTGGGGGTTGCCCCCACTTAACCCTATTTAAATACATGTCCTGCAGCAGCAATGTTCTTCGCTACTCTCTTCTTCGCAGATTGGCGGAAGCTCACCCTAACTCGCAACTCTCTTCTTCGCGGTCTCCTCTTCACAATTCTCAGTCTCTTTTTCACAGGTCTGTTTGTCACACTAAGAATAATGTCTTCTTCGTCTACCTCAAGCATACGAAAAAATAGCCTATCTACCCTAAATTAGGAGCCGACGTTGTAACACCCCCAGATTTCCCTCCTAAAATAATACTTGAAATACTGATTTATTGATAATAAACTTACTTTATTTGTTCAAAATAGATAAAAAGTTTGGCAGCGGAAATAACATCAACAGGGAAACGGGTGTTACCGCCACATCCGGTAATCTCTTAACCGAATGCACAGGCAATCCCGAAATAAAACAAAGTAAAACAAATATTCGACATAACTAAAATGTTTATTCTTGTCTAAGTTTTACTAAGGAATCTCTTAACCTCTCTCGGGCGCATGCAATCATCAATCAACATAGTCATCATTACCTGCACAAATAAAGTGCAGAACACAAAACAAAGAAAAGGAAACAAAAATTAGCTTTAGAGCTAAGTAAGTACTACCCAACCCCGTAAAATAATCAGGTTTGGCGAAAATAGTTTTTCATATAATACCATAAAAATAACACACTCCACCAAAATTCTTTTCTCTTTGATTTTTTTCTCAAAATCACTTCTTTACTAAAGTCCTTAACTTTTCTTTGAAAATACTATAGTAACTCTTTTCTTAGAATTTCTCAAAATTCACTTCTTCTCTATCTTCCTAGTAATTTAGAAGGGCGGTGTTCAACACTCTGGTTGAGCCCGGTGGTTACGTTATTATGTACAGCCACCCCGGGAATTTTGCCGGTACCACAACTGCTAATGGAAACGAAACGACTACCTTAAGTGTGCACACGCTCTAAAAGGGATTCCAAGCCCTCCGAGTAGTAAGTCGTAACGAGTAGCCGAGACTCAGTCTACCAACTACCTCACCTTTAAAATTCTTGAATGATTAGGGACTACTACTACTATAACTTATTTTTAAAAGGGATCATAGATTCAAATGTCACTTCAAACTCAAATTGTACTTCTTAGTAGCAGCAGCCCTAATCACCCTCCACATTTATCCGGATGTGGAAAACCGACACCACGGATTTCTCCCGGATGCTCACCTATTATGAAAAAGTAAATTTTATCTTGACTTTAGATATACTTTCAAAAATATTTCTCAATCACTCTAAATAGTATCGAAGTTATTTAAAATATTTAATACCCCAAAAAGTACTCTTAATTTGTATTCCTCAAAACCACATACACATAATTCACAATTCACACTTAATCACATGATGCATATTAAGCATATAATACGAGGAAATAATTTTGGATTGACAGAGAAACTTACTGTAGGTCCTGACGCTCCTAATTCTCTTCCTCAATTCCGATCTCTAAATATTCACCTTTTTAATTAAGATGATATAATTAGTCACTTTTTCTGTTTTTAATAATTTATCCAAATTTTCTCTTTTATTTTATTATTCGAACTTATTAATTTAATTAATTAATTATTCGAGTGTATCATTTTATTCAATTTAATCACTTCAGTTTATTTTTATTTTATCCGGAACAGCCAAAAATTTAGCTTATTAAAAGCATTTCATGGTCCAAATGAAACTATAATTTTGGTTTATTTAATAAAAAGAACCAGTGAAGCCCAAAGATGATAAAACTAAGTAAACGTACACTACGCATGCATTCCTCTTTAGCAACTCGACGTAGGATCGGTGACGAGTTGACGACATAGCTTCTTCGATCGGCGCCCCCTTTCAGCCGCGGTCCTGGCGATCTACGGCATCGGTCCAGAAGACAGAGGCTTTTCCTCCTCCGGCGTGAAAGCGGTTCGACAGTCCGGCGAGGCAGCTGGGTTTCTTCTACGGCGAGGTAGCTGGGTTTCTTCTCCGGCGAGTCCTCCCATTTCTCCGGCGTCCAGTGGCGCCCAACGGCAGCTTACCGGGCTCCCGTAGATCTTCGTTCCTATGGTGATACAATGCAGGTTCGACCCTCATCTGCGCAGTTACTGCCGGGGACGAGGTCAGTACGCGCCGGCAAGCTTTTTCTCCCTCCGGTGACGACCTCCCTCTCACTCTCTTTCTCTTGAGTCTTCCTCACATACGACTCAAATGGCCGATTACTTTAGGTGAAGTTTGTTGTGGTTTTCAGTTGAGCGTAGCGTAAGATTGAAGGTGGTGTGTATATATGTACTCCATGTGTTTACCCGCATTGAAAGTTCGGGTATGCGCAGGTATATGGCAGTTCGGGCTTCTGACCTTGCTGGAGCTTTGATGTGCTATTGTGCTCTAAATAGGAGGAAGCATCCCATGTGGTGGGTACATATGCTCCAAACGTGGATCGTGCATTCTTGGGGGTAGTACATGGGCATGGGTAACATACATGTACGTATCATTTGTTGGGCCAATAAGCATAGTGTAAGAGATTATATGTGTGTGGATATAAGTTTACATATGTACGTCGGCTGATCGTTGTTTTATTGTATGATGTGAATGTAGTGTAAAGATACATGGTATCACATACTTCGCATTATTACTGTCACTTTCATTATTGAAATTTTTTTATAAGATTAAAAATGTCACTGATGTTAAAATTTCATCTGATTCACTTAATTATTAAAATGTCACTTTCGTAACCTTTTATCTGACTAATAAAATTATTTATTTTATTTTAAATTTTTCGGAGTGTCACGGGCGTTTTACTGTCTTTGTGGGATGAAAGCCCCTCTTTGCAAAGGACGAGAAAGTGGACGATTGTTCTACGACTGTCAACAATTTAAGGTAAATCTTCTTACAAATTAATTATGTGGTGATTTAGTTTCACTGATTTGGTTGGTTTTCTGAGTTTGCTTGATGTGGTGATTTTTTTAGCACGACCGTGGATGTGGTTTCTTTGTGTGGAAGGATGCTATGGATGCTACACATGGTCACACAGAGTACCGGAATTTAAGAGACGACGCAGCTCATGGTGGTGGTCTGTTTGAGTTACAGAGGGCTAACAATTCAATGGGTCAACAAATTATTGTGCTTGGAAGAGATATTGCTTATCTTAGGGGAGTAGTCCAAACAGAGGGAAAACAAAACAAAATGTTAAGGTTGTTTGTTGGTTGACATTTGAAAGACCCTGCAAATGAATACCAACAAATCATTATAAATGGTTATGCAAAGAAACAATTTCTGTTGAGAATGACACATGAGATGAGAGTTATATAGGCTGCTAACCTTCTGTTGGTCACTTATAATGGTCCACAAGTCAGTCCTGACAATATTCAAGTCATCCTTTAGTAGTTGCAGGAACCATCTCCACGATGAGTTATTCTCAATTTCAACAACAGCCCAAGCAATTGAGTACATCTGATTGTTGACATCCCTGCCAACGGCTGTCAAGATTTCCCCCTTTAATTGACCTTTCAAGAAGCAGCCATCTACCCCAATCATTTTTCTACACCATTCTAAAAATCCTTTTTTCACAGGTCCAAAGCAGAAGTAAATCCTCTGGAAAATAGAAGACCCATCTGGAACAACTCTTACTGTTTTAATCACAACCGTACTGTCAGGAATTGACTTCAAACATTCCTTTGCATAATTTCTGATTCTCCTAAATTTATCCTTGAAAGCATTCTTAGTTTTTTCTTGTATTCCCCTTAGTGCTCTAGCCACCATACTAAGAGAAACATTGATCTTATGTTGTGATTTTATAAGACCTTTTAATTCAACAGAGCCTGAACAAGGATTTTGAAGCACTTTATCTTCATAAGTCTCCTCAATCCATTTTTGGCTAATAAGCCTCAACTTAATCTTCGTATTACACATGTGAGAGGTATTCAAAACTTTGACTTGATAACATCTAAGACTTTTCTCCCAACTAGCAGTACACCTAAAGGGGCAATTTGGGGCACACTTATAACGCACTCTTTCGGGATCATTTCTGACAAACCTTATATCTTTTTTCTCATGAATAGCATATCTTATCATGGCATTCTTGAACTGTCTTCCATTCTCAAATAGCATACACAACTCAATGTTAGGAGGGTCTGAGTCGGGATTATAAGATGCATACCTGGGCTTCTTCCTTTTTGATTTCACAACTCCATCTTCTGAGTCATGATCGGACCGTAAGCTAGATGGGTCATCTGAATCATATTCCAGGCTGGTATGATCTGATTCACTGACATTGTATTGTTTTGTCTCCCTGTGAGGTCTTTTTTTCTTATAAGTTGTTAGTCCCTGTTTTCTATAACAGCAATATAATATGGCATACAGATGAAAGATTATTAACAAAGATGAACACAGAAAGATCAAGTGTAAACCTTCTCTTATATACCGTGAACCTTTCGTACAGGAATGATAAGCGCTAAGGCTATTTTGAGCAGATGCGAAAGTTAACTGCAAACCTGAGTCCTCCGCCCTCTTTTATAGGCGAGGCTCAGGTATGCGTAAAAAGGTTTCTCGCCTAAGTATGGGCCTAACACTTGGCCCATATTGAATACTATTCTAACAGATATATTTAATCAGTGCAGAATAGAAATATTAAACATCTAAATTATTACAGACAAAACAGACAAACTTGATTCACAATAAAATAGTCTTCAACAATCTCCCCCTTTGTGATCAAGTGCCGTCTTGCATTTATTTTTGAGATCTGAAGTAATGCTTTCTGAAATTTAGCGCATGCTCATACTGTCTCAGCATTCTTCTCTTTTCAAGTTGCTCGTTGATGGGTTTTAGGATGGTCCACACCTTCTCGTATACTAGAAGCTCTTCCTCGCTGGCGTCCGCAAGTCTTGGATCTATATTCTCCTTGATCTCTAACAACTTAGTCTGGATGATCTTCAGAGTCCCATCACAATATTTGTGAATGTCTTCTACCCACATGAGTCTTTTCTGTTCCTCATGATTGAGATATATGATAGAGACTGGGTCCTTGAAGATATGATATGGTCTGTACTTTTTGAGCTCTGGACCGTACAGAGTTGGCTTTACCAGATTTGCTTTTCTGACATTGTTTTCCAGGGCCATCTGTAGATCATGGGCAGCATAGAATATGATCTGTCTCAGCATAAATCGTTTGATCGCCTCATAACCTTCTTCGTGTGTCCTGTTTTGACTCAATGAGAGATACCTACTTACCATGAACATTTGATAGATATCCTCCATCTTCATCATTATAAAATCATTTTCCTGGCAGATGAATATGTTGGAGTCTGTTCGTCGAACTTTGAAGCTGTAGAAAGGGATGGTGTGATGATCTTCTCAGTGTATATCAAGGATAGCGTCAATAGGGTGGATGCTGGACTTCATGTCTCTTTCCAGTATTTGTCGTTGTTTTCCAGATGATCTGTGCATCAGCATGTGAAGATGTCCGCCAGCCAGTTTGCCCTTAAGGTGAGTCAGGACACGGATCTTCAGTTCATCGAGCTGTTTGAGCTTGTCTGCGGTTCTCCAAATTCCCTTTCTGATTTCCTCTTGGAAAGGGGCATTTATTCTGATGTTTTCCCAGAGCTTTTCTTTTGGGGGCAACTTGCCTGCCGTTTGTCTGATGACGGATTCTAGCTCCCTGGGTATCTTTTTGTAGTCCTCCCCTTCTTTGAGTTCCTCTTCATCAAGGCGTATGATATCTTCTGCGCATTTGGCCAGCAACTCTCTCAGCCACCAATTTCGCTGCATATCCTCTGTTTCAGCTTCGCATCTAAGATCATCCCACTCTGTCCACTTTCTCGGCCAAACATCGTGTACCACAGCATCCTCGAGTGCATCATGAATGTCTTTGCCTTGGGGAATGTATGGGACTCTCAGCTGCGGTGATCTTTCTCGTGAAGCACAACCGGGTTCACTAGGATTGCCCGTTGTCATCAGCTTAGAACTGAGTTCTGGCTGATGGCCTGACTTGACAGATGAATCAGAGATAGCATCGTCAGGACTTCCATCCCCTCCTCGGACGGTATCCTTTGGAGACACGCCTCGGGATGTTGTCATCGATTTCGAACTGTGTTCTGATCGATGGCCTGAGCTTTGTGATGTACCAGAGGTAACCACTACAGGACTTCCATCCCCTCCTCGGACAGTATCTCTAGGAGATAAGCCTCGGGATGTTTCATCTAGCTCGACCAGGCTAGAGAGTTGGGCTTGGTTGTGGCTCGAGGAAGGTGGTGGTTGGTTGGTGGGCTGGTTTGATGAGGTGTTTGCCTGGGGTTCATGGCTGGTAGAGGCTGCTTGCTCAAGTGTCCGAGGTCTCTTGTTCTCCCCCTCATGAGGTTCCGAATCATCGGGATCCTCATGAGAACGTTTGAGGCCTCGGGGACTGTCACGGCAAGTGTCGTATTGAGGGCGGTCGTGGTTGAGGAAAACCTGGAGAAGGTCACGTTCGAAGGGTGTAAGGTTGCAAGCGTCGACCTCCAGCAACCGAAGAAACAGGAGATCAGCGAGCTCAAGACGGGATAGGTGGAAGGGATTGGTCGAGGTAGGGGGCGATACTAGTTCTGTATCGTGGGTTCCCCGAGAGGGTGAAGGGCTAAGGGATTTTGTGGAGGTGACAGGGATGACTGGAGTGGGTTGAGGAATGGATTGAGAGGGTGAAGAGTGAGGTTTGGGGTGGCTCTGTTCACTATGAACCGCTGGGGTTGTCTTGGAGTCCTGTGCCCAAGCGGTGAATGCTTGTTGCATCCATGGTTTGATGGTGGACTCCATGTAGCGGTTCATGAGAACGGTAATGTCTTCGGGTGTAAGGGATCCAGTTACGGGGGTTGTAGCTGTTGTCACAGCATCAGTGAAGAGAGCTGATGTGTGGCCTGCGTTCAATGATGAAGTCATTTTTGGCATAGCAGGGCTTCCGACCATCATTGTTTGCACTCCGGTCGTTGTATTCAGGGTGTGTGCACCTGTATGTGCTGTGAATGGTGTAGGTGTCCTAGAAAAATTTAAAAATGTGGGGAATGTGACACCTAGACTCGATGTGTGGAAAGAGGGGTTGTGGCCTCGGGCGGTGGGCCACTAGAGCGCTCAACTGGTTCGGAGGGAACCAGTGAGGTGGGCGAGTCCCGTGTTGTTGAAACGTTAGCCTTTTGGGAGGCTAACGAGTGGCTGGGAGAGGGCGGTGCATGCGCAGTTGAGCCTGATGCTGTGGCTTCTACCCGGGAACCAACAAGATTGGCCCCTGTACTTAAGGATTCGGCCCGGCTTATAGTGATGAAGGGAAGACAGTCGTCAAAGATGTGTAGGTCCTCCTCAGCGACCAAACTTTTTCTGACAGGACGCTGCTTCTTTGCCTTAGGTGAACGGGGAGCAGCAATCTTGGCTGTAACTGGCTCCTTCACTTGTTTGATGACGATAGTCTTGGGGCGGACAGCTATAAATGGAGCTGCATCCTCAGGGGTGATTTTCTTTGGAGGAGAATCAAGTGGCAGCTTCCCCTTTTGGATTAGAGCAAAGGTGTGATCCACGTCGTCAATATCGTCGTCGTCATCATCATCGTTAGCATCGTCATCATCCTTGGCCACGCTATTGGATGCCTCATCGTCGGCCTTTTTATGGGCCGGGCTGGACGATTCATTGGCAGGTTCCGCAACGTTTGTACGTGTGCCCTCAGCCGTCTGATTCCTCTCGAGAGAATCGTCAGACTTCCCTTCATGGGGCACACGCGCCACTGGTTTATGTGGCTTACGGGCTCTCTTTGGACCCTTACTTGCTCTCGGCTTAGGCCCCGGGGCAGGTCCAGCTGGGTTTTGCTGAACCATGGGGCCATCGTTCTGTAAGCTCTCTCTATACTGGACTACTGCGAAGTGTCGTGGATTGCCCAAGTCCAGCAGATAGTCTGGTATTGTCATCCCCACAGTGTCATGTTTGAAGCGCTTGAAATACTGGAGCTTGGGGGCAGTGTACTGATCTTCATCTCTGCGCTGTGGAATCCCTGGGTGGGCGGTCATGTATTCAGCAATGATGAGCGCCAACCATCTGGCGTAGGGAATTGTCATGCCCGTTTTTCCGTCCTCTTTGTCCTGGACTTGAGTCACCAGCTCGATCCAGAATAGCTGCGCCATGTCATAGTTTTTGTTGAAAACGATCCCATGGAAGATTTGGAAAATCTGCAAGTTGCACTTGTCATGGCCAGCGTGCTTCGGAGATAGGCATTTGTTGAC